CAGAGGTAGGGAGGGAGGGAGTTTGGTTGGGCTCTAGGGCAGTTAGTTTGGTTTGGTGTGGGTTGGATGAGATGTTTGCTTGCTAGGCTTGCAGTTACACAACTGGTCAGGGTTCAGTTACACAACTGATCCGGGTCCGCTTACACAACTGGTCGGGCTTCGGTTACACAACTGGTCGGGCTCCGGTTACATAACTGGTCGGGCTCCGGTTACAAAACTGGCGGGCTCCGGTTACGTAACTGGTCGGGCTCCGGGGGTGTCACTAGGGCTTCGGGTTGTGCATATTCGGGCTTCGGTTCGTGCATGGTTGTGCTTCAGAGGATTTGTTTGGTTCGTTCATGCTAGGCTTGCAGTTACACAACTGGTCGGAGTTTGGTTACACAACTGGTTGGGGTCCATTTACACAACTGGTTGAGGTCCGGTTACATAACTGTTTGTGCTCCAGGGGTTGTTTGTGTACCTGTGCTCCAGGTTTGTTTGCTAGGGCTCCATAGTTGGTTTCTAGGGCAAGTGGAGGGTTTTAGGTAGGGCTAAGGAGATTTTTGTTTGGTCGAGGTAGGAATGGAGTTTGGTTGGGCTCTGGGGCTGTTTAGTTTGGTGGGGTTGGATGAGATATATGCTTGTTATGCTTGCGGTTACACAACTGGTCGGGCTCCGGCTACACAACTGGTCGGGCTCCGATTACACAACTGGTCGGGCTCCGGTTAAATAACTGGTCGGGCTCCGGTTAAATAAATAACTGGTCGGGCTCCGGTTAAATAACTGGTCGGGCTCCGGGGGTGTCATTTGGGCTTCGGGTTGTGCATGGTCGGGCTTCAGTTCATGTATTGGTGTGCCAGTACCTCATGTTTCTTTGCTAGATCATCATGGTTGTTTCTTTGCTATGGCTGAGTGCATGTTTATTTTCAAGGGCTTCATTGTTCTATTTTTGCAAGAGTTCTAGGTTTCTTTTGTTATAGGGCTCAATTGTTTGTTTGCTTTGGCTTCAAAGTTAGTTGTTAAGGCAAGGGGGGGGGGGGTTGTTAGGTAGGGCTAAGGAAAGGTTTGTTTAGTAGAGCTAGAGAGAGAGTTTGGATGGGCTTTGGGGCTGTTTCTTTAGCAGAGGTAGGGAGGGAGGGAGTTTGGTTTGGCTCTAGGGCAGTTAGTTTGGTTTGGTGTGGGTTGGATGAGATGTTTGCTTGCTAGGCTTGCAGTTACACAACTGGTCAGGGTTCAGTTACACAACTGGTCAGGGTTCAGTTACACAACTGATCCGGGTCCGCTTACACAACTGGTCGGGCTTCGGTTACACAACTGGTCGGGCTCCGGTTACATAACTGGTCGGGCTCAGGTTTACAAAACTGGCGGGCTCCGGTTACGTAACTGGTCGGGCTCCGGGGGTGTCACTAGGGCTTCGGGTTGTGCATATTCGGGCTTCGGTTCGTGCATGGTTGTGCTTCAGAGGATTTGTTAGGTTCGTTCATGCTAGGCTTGCAGTTACACAACTGGTCGGAGTTTGGTTACACAACTGGTTGGGGTCCATTTACACAACTGGTTGAGGTCCGGTTACATAACTGTTTGTGCTCCAGGGGTTGTTTGTGTATCTGTGCTCCAGGTTTGTTTGCTAGGGCTCCATAGTTGGTTTCTAGGGCAAGTGGAGGGTTTTAGGTAGGGCTAAGGAGATTTTTGTTTGGTCGAGGTAGGAATGGAGTTTGGTTGGGCTCTGGGGCTGTTTAGTTTGGTGGGGTTGGATGAGATATATGCTTGTTATGCTTGCGGTTACACAACTGGTCGGGCTCCGGCTACACAACTGGTCGGGCTCCGATTACACAACTGGTCGGGCTCCGGTTAAATAACTGGTCGGGCTCCGGTTAAATAAATAACTGGTCGGGCTCCGGTTAAATAACTGGTCGGGCTCCGGGGGTGTCATTTGGGCTTCGGGTTGTGCATGGTCGGGCTTCAGTTCATGTATTAGTGTGCCAGTACCTCATGTTTCTTTGCTAGATCATCATGGTTGTTTCTTTGCTATGGCTGAGTGCATGTTTATTTTCAAGGGCTTCATTGTTCTATTTTTGCAAGAGTTCTAGGTTTCTTTTGTTATAGGGCTCAATTGTTTGTTTGCTTTGGCTTCAAAGTTAGTTGTTAAGGCAAGGGAGGGGGGTTGTTAGGTAAGGCTAAGGAAAGGTTTGTTTGGTAGAGCTAGGGAGAGAGTTTGGATGGGCTTTGGGGCTGTTTCTTTAGCAGAGGTAGGGAGGGAGGGAGTTTGGTTTGGCTCTAGGGCAGTTAGTTTGGTTTGGTCTGGGTTGGATGAGATGTTTGCTTGCTAGGCTTGCAGTTACACAACTGGTCAGGGTTCAGTTACACAACTGATCCGGGTCCGCTTACACAACTGGTCGGGCTTCGGTTACACAACTGGTCGGGCTCCGGTTACATAACTGGTCGGGCTCCGGTTACAAAACTGGCGGGCTCCGGTTACGTAACTGGTCGGGCTCCGGGGGTGTCACTAGGGCTTCGGGTTGTGCATATTCGGGCTTCGGTTCGTGCATGGTTGTGCTTCAGAGGATTTGTTTAGTTCGTTCATGCTAGGCTTGCAGTTACACAACTGGTCGGAGTTTGGTTACACAACTGGTTGGGGTCCATTTACACAACTGGTTGAGGTCCGGTTACATAACTGTTTGTGCTCCAGGGGTTGTTTGTGTACCTGTGCTCCAGGTTTGTTTGCTAGGGCTCCATAGTTGGTTTCTAGGGCAAGTGGAGGGTTTTAGGTAGGGCTAAGGAGATTTTTGTTTGGTCGAGGTAGGAATGGAGTTTGGTTGGGCTCTGGGGCTGTTTAGTTTGGTGGGGTTGGATGAGATATATGATTGTTATGCTTGCGGTTACACAACTGGTCGGGCTCCGGCTACACAACTGGTCGGGCTCCGATTACACAACTGGTCGGGCTCCGGTTAAATAACTGGTCGGGCTCCGGTTAAATAACTGGTCGGGCTCCGGGGGTGTCATTTGGGCTTCGGGTTGTGCATGGTCGGGCTTCAGTTCATGTATTAGTGTGCCAGTACCTCATGTTTCTTTGCTAGATCATCATGGTTGTTTCTTTGCTATGGCTGAGTGCATGTTTATTTTCAAGGGCTTCATTGTTGTATTTTTGCAAGAGTTCTAGGTTTCTTTTGTTATAGGGCTCAATTGTTTATTTGCTTTGGCTTCAAAGTTAGTTCTTAAGGCAAGGGGGGGAGGCGGTTGTTAGGTAGGGCTAAGGAAAGGTTTGTTTGGTAGAGCTAGGGAGAGCGTTTGGATGGGCTTTGGGGTTGTTTCTTTAGCAGAGGTAGGGAGGGAGGGAGTTTGGTTGGGCTCTAGGGCAGTTAGTTTGGGTTGGTGTGGGTTGGATGAGATGTTTGCTTGCTAGGCTTGCAGCTACACAACTGGTCAGGGTTCAGTTACACAACTGATCCGGGTCCGCTTACACAACTGGTCGGGCTTCGGTTACACAACTGGTCGGGCTCCGGTTACATAACTGGTCGGGCTCCGGTTACAAAACTGGTCGGGCTCCGGTTACGTAACTGGTCGGGCTCCGGGGGTGTCACTAGGGCTTCGGGTTGTGCATATTCGGGCTTCGGTTCGTGCATGGTTGTGCTTCAGAGGTTTTGTTTGGTTCGTTCATGCTAGGCTTGCAGTTACACAACTGGTCGGAGTTTGGTTACACAACTGGTTGGGGTCCATTTACACAACTGGTTGAGGTTCGGTTACACAACTGGTTGGGCTTCGGTTACACAAATGGTCGGGCTCCGGTGACATAATTGGTCGGGCTCCGGTTACACAACTGGTCGGGCTCCAGTTACATAACTGGTTGTGCTCCAGGGGTTGTTTGTGTACTTGTGCTCCAGGTTTGTTTGATAGGGCTCCGTAGTTGGTTTCTAGGGCAAGTGGAGGGTTTTAGGTAGGGCTAAGGAGATTTTTGTTTGGTCAAGGTAGGAATGGAGTTTGGTTAGGCTCTGGGGCTGTTTAGCTTGGTGGGGTTGGATGAGATGTATACTTGCTAGGCTTGCGGTTACACAACTGGTGAGGTTGCGGTTACACAACTGGTCGGGCTCCGGTTACACAACTGGTGGGGCTCCGGGGATGTCATTTGGGCTTCGGGTTGTGCATAGTCTGGCTTTGGTTCGTGTATGTTTGTGCTTCAGATATGTTGTTTGGTCGGTTCGTTCATGCTAGGCTTGCGGTTACACAAATGGCTCATAAAACGGAGGAAAGGGTCCTGAAAGATATTGTTGATAGGAACATTATCCCTACAGACAAAAATCAGAAAATACAAATGACAATTTACTGTAAAACCAAAAAAATGGTCATCCTACTCATGAAGTAGGATGACCATCCTACTCCGGACACCAAGCATAATGACTTAAAGGAAACCAGCGTCGTCTATGCCTTCAAATGCCCACTTAGGGACTGTAAGCCTCAAAGAATTCAGTATATAGGCAAGACAACAACATCTCTTTCCAGGCGATTAACGATGCATAAGCAACAGGGCTCCATTAAGGAACATATAAAATATATTACTTTGAAACCCGTTTCAAATTCGCTACTTTTAGACCGTCAGTTCGCTACTTTCAGCAATTTGGATCTGGCAACCCTGCAGGTGACAGATATCCGTCCCTGAGGCAGGGTCCGTGAGGCAGGGGTCTCCCTAAGACAGGGTCCGTGAGGCAGGGTCTCCCTAAGACAGGGTCCCTGAGGCGAGGTCCCTGAGGCGGGGTCCCTGAGGCAGGGTCCCTGAGGCGAGGTCCCTGAGGCAAGGTCCCTGAGGCGAGGTCCGTGAGGCAGGGTCTCCCTAAGACAGGGTCCCTGAGGCGAGGTCCCTGAGGCAAGGTCCCCGAGGCGGGGTCCCTGAGGCAAGGTCCGTGAGGCGGGGTCCCTGAGGCAAGGTCCGTGAGGCAAGGTCCCTGAGGCAAGGTCCCTGAGGCAAGGACCCCGAGGCGGGGTCCCTGGGTTCAAGTCGGCCGCTCTCTGACGCTGTAACTTTGTACTTGATGACGTCACAGAGCAGCTGATCCCCCAGCTCAAAGTTTGTGTTGTGGCGCACCACTGTACTCTCCCACCAACCTGCTCTGTGCTGAGTGCCAGGGGCTCCCCCACACCCCCAACACTACGGTATACTACACTACGGTTTGCACGAGTTTACCTATTGACTCCTGACTACCGTGGTAGATGTTAGTGGGGTGATTCCGTGAGGAGTGGAGCGAGGGGGTTGTTGACTGGTTTGAGTGTGGTGGTTGAGTGCACGAGTGCCAGGGCGTGTCTGCACTCGAGTAGTGGTGTGTGAGACTTGCAACATCATGGCATCCATCCCCATCCCCGTCAGGGAGGTGAAGAACGGTAGTGTGGACGAGGAAGAGGAAGAGGAGGTGGCCAGCTCTCCTTCCCTTCACCCGGACGCTTACGCCACCCTAAGCCACGACGAGACCAATGGGGTGCCTCTCGACACACACTGGACCTTCTGGATAGATAAGTGAGTAGCTGTAGTGTGGCCTGCACTGTGTCTTCACCACCAAGCATCACATTCACTCTAGAAAATCTACCACTTATTCATGCCCGAGCCACCACTTGTGGTGGCTTAATCTTCATCAATCAATCAGTGAACTATGTTTTCCCCTTGTACGGCTCTCTCTCTTGCTGGGTCTGCAGGTATAATGTTTCATTCGTTGTTCGATAATGGACTATATCTTGAGAAATCTCATTTCATTCTCAGAAATAATTGGGGGAAAAAATCTAAAAACTTAACCTCAAGGAACTACCTAACCAAAAGATTATGGATCAGTCCAATATAAACTGTATCCTACACGTTCAGCATCCTATAGGCCTATATTGAGCATATTCTCAACTCTAGATAAACGTTCAGTATTTAAAGGTTTGTATTTAGAATTATCACTTCTTGAAAAGCGCTGCATGATCTTATACCAGTACAGTACCTGTACAATACTGGTATGATATAGCAAGTGTCATGGACAGGGATCTTGTTGGGCTTTAGAAGTTAGCCCTTGCCAAGGGTGAGGCTCTGTGCAGCCACCCATCCATTTACTGGCCATACTTAACAGTACTTAATATTTACAAGGATTTACCTGGGGGGGGGGCCACTATCTCACAAGTGGCCTCAAGGACAGGAAGCCAGTGGCTTGTCAAATGTTCCCCCCTTTTGTCCTGTTGATTTTTTCCAGCTGGATTTTTAAAATTCAACAGTTTTGGCATTTACGGTTTTGGTGGGTAGGAGATGCCATGGATTTATAACCCTGTGGGAGAAAAAGAATCATTTAAAACTAAACAAAATGTTTAGTTTTCATCATAGTTATTATTAATAGGCACAAACAGTCATATATCCTGTATAATTTGTGTTTACGTAAACATGTATTGTATCACTTGCTACATTACAGTATAAGGAAAAATCCCAGATTTCACCCAGATCTGAATCGGGTCCAAAATGTTATCTGGATTTTGGAGGTGACACTGAACTGTAGTACTTTAGTTGACTTGCTTGATGTCTAAAACTCTTCTTTGAATTGTGCAACAAGCTGGACCATTTTTTTTCTTTTCCTTTTGATCTAGATAATTTTTCAGCAGTACTAGAGCAAGGTGGAATCGTGTATCTGGGTTGAACCAAGAAAACTCTAAAATTAAAGTTGTTACTTAACTCAGTATTAACATGTGCAAGATCAAATAAGCCAGCTTGTGAACATTTTTGTATATTTGACATAGGTAAATAAATAGGGAATACGGTGAACATTAATCCTTTCACAGCAACACCATGGTTTGGCTTTGTTCCCTGATTGGATCAAATTGTTGTTAAAACAAAAATTTATGTTTAGATTTTCCTTCTTTTGTTTTGCACACTTCTAGTAACCTTTCCACCTGTGCCATTAATTCTTTATTTTTTATAAAATAATAGGGGTGGTAGGAGAAGAAAAATTTAAAGTGTTCAGTGAGAATCCACAAGGTCTTCTCTGAATACTCTTTATTTTCTTCTTGAGGCTGTGGGTCCCTACAATTGCACCACAAGTGGTACCCCCTATATATGAATAGTAATATAATACAAATGAAAAAGCAATAATTTCCTGTCTCCATTTTCCAACGGAAAATATTGTCCGAGTTCAGCAATGAATAAAAATATTGTTCTGAAGTGATTTTTATGTTTTAGTGCATATTATTTGTTATTTTCCAGAGCGACAAGAGGAGCCACTGCTGCTGAATATGAAGCCAACATGAAAAAAATATATAGTGTATCAACAGTACAAAGTTTCTGGTCTGTGTATAATCACATACCTGATGTCTCGGAGCTTTCACTTCGTTACTCATATCACTTGATGCGTGGAGATCGCCGACCTATGTGGGAAGATGAGGGAAATCAGAATGGCGGAACATGGAGAATTAAAGTATCTAAAAGAGATACCGTAAGTAGGAGAGATTTATTTGTTTATTTATTTATTTATATACAAGAAGGTACATTGGGTTTGAGAGAATACATAGCATAGTATTTACAATCTTGTAAAGCCACTAGTACGCGCAGCGTTTCGGGCAGGTCCTTAATCAAATAGATAATTTTAAGTACGTAAATTCTAGCAGAATTAATAAAATAACAGATACATTGCAAGAAAAGAACTGAGATGAGATAGAATAGTAAGTATATTAAACTACATTGGTATATTAAAGCTCTGATTGATTACATTGACAACTTGATTGGTAATTTAAACAAGATTAACAGACACCATACAGCAGATTGATAGCACATATAAGAAGACAGCAATGATCACAATGGTAAAGATGTTCGGATTGGGTACATAAAGATTGGAGATTGGGTAGCAATAGATACAGTGCAATTTTAAAGCAAAAGGTTAAAAACTATGCAGATGAAATTAGGTACTTTTTAGTTTTGTTTTTGAATGATGCAAAAGTTGGACAGCTTTTCAATTCATTAGGGAGTGAGTTCCATAGACTGGGTCCCTTTATTTGCATAGAGTGTTTACACAGATTAAGTTTGACTCTGGGGATATCAAAGAGATTTATTTCTGGTGTGGTGATAATGGGTCCTATTGCATCTGTCCACGGAGAGTTTCAGAGCAGGATTTGCATTTAAGAACAGGGTTTTGTAAATGTAATTGACACAAGAAAATTTGTGGAGTGAGATTATGTTTAGGGAGTTAAACAAGGGGGCTGAGTGTTGTCTGAAAGCAGAATTTGTTATTCTGATAGCAGATTTTTGCTAGGTGATGATGGACTTGAGGTGGTTTGCAGTGGTTGAACCCCATGCACAGATACCATAATTAAGATAGGGATAGATTAGTGCATAGTATACAGAGATGAGAGCAGAGTTAGGTACATAATATCTGATTGTGGAGAGTATCCCAACTGTTTTAGAGACTCTTAGTTATGTATTGTATGTGGGTGCTGAAGTTGAGTCTTTGTCTAGGAACAGGCCAAGAAACTTTCCATCATTTTTATTGCTAATGTTTACATTATCTATCTGAAACTGAATTGCATTTGTAGATTTGCTTCCAAATAAGATGTAGTAGGTCTTTTCTATGTTAAGTGTTAGTTTATTGGTTGACATCCATAAGTGGACTCTTTTTAGTTCATTATTAACATCATTATTTAGTATATGTGGGTTGGGGTTATGAGTAAATGAGGGTAGTATCATCAGCAAACAAAATTGGCTTCAGAATGTTAGAGACATTAGGCAGATCATTGATGTATATAAGAAAAAGGGTCTTTTTCTTTCCATAAAGTCTATTTGAACTTTAGTACCGGGTCCATTGAAAAACATTTATGTACATTTGATTCATTAATTGCCTTGCTTTTCAGTCCCGTGTGTGGAAAGAGCTGCTACTGGCAGCAATTGGAGAACAATTTGAAGGTCACCTTGCTCCTGGAGATGAAGTATGTGGCATCACAGTTTCAGTAAGGGAGAGAGATGATTTACTACAGATCTGGAATTATGATTGTGCCTTGACTAGCCAAGCCACTCTCATGAAGAAAATTCATAGCTTGGTTCCTGATGTGGTATTCAGTGCTGAATTTTATAAACGTGAGTATAGAGCTAGGGTGGAGGAGATAATACTGTCTATGGCATGGTGATTAATGCAAATTTGATTACATTACCTTGCGTTGATACTGGGGGTCAAGGTCAACACGGCCCCGGTCTCTGACCAGGCCTTCCCCGTAGCATTAAGTATTTTTATAAGTTATTAGTATGTTTCTTTGTGAAGTGCTAGATGCAATATTTATTTTATATTTGACTTAAATATTCATTCTAAAATATAAAATAGGAACAGTTTTGTATTATTTGATATATAAATGTTTTACTACTGGTAAACATTGGGAAATTACAAATTATATACATTTGATGTACAGCACAGTACTGTATAGTAATATACCTGTTGTAAATGCTAGAATATACCTAATTTGCCATAAGTTTGCTAACAAGTTACTTAATGAAAGTTTTCCTTAATAATGATATAAATTCTTGTCCTTTCAGCACATCAAACACATCATGCTTATGAAGGAGAAAAGTCACAAATGGGTGGTATGATGCTTGTGAACTCATGAACAAGGCATAATGTAGGCCTGTTTGTGCTCGTATGTTAGCATTTTATCCCATAGCTGTTGCTCCATAGGTCTAAGTACACAAATTGTTGGGTAGTCTCACAATTTTCTACTGCTGGTATATTTGTAAGTCATTAAGAGTGGTTGATCAGTAGGAGATATTTATCTTTTGTATACATACTGTAGATGAAATGAGAAAACCTGGCTGCCCTAGAGCCAATATTTCTTGTACTATAATAAGATTGAAAAATTTGTTTTCGTTTATAAAATATTCTTTAACTTGTTCTTGTACTGGGGTAGTTATAGTTTGCAGTTAGAACCTGCTAGAAGACAAAGCAATTCAAGGACACAAGATGTAACTAAAATTTTTAAATATCACCATTTTAAAGTGATAATTACTGAATAGACATTATCTTAAATCCAGTAATTTTTCACTTCATATGGAGAATTGTATTTATATATTAAATACAGTACCCTATTGGGGATTTCATATAATGTAGGATATTTAACATATGGTTTCTTAATGTAAGGGATTACGGATGGTGTCAGATGCAATTAAATCTTAAACACAAGTACAAGAATTAGCACAAATGGTAGCTTAAGAACTCTATTGACATCACATTTGTTATTTTTTTATATTTTTTGCATACTTGTATTTTATTGCGAGGATGCATAACAGTTTTCCTCTTGATTTAATTAATTAATCCACAGTTGTCCTTGAAATCAAACTTCTTGCAGGAACTCAAGTTTAAAATAATTTCTGTGATAAAAAAAAAAAGTGCTAGGAAAGCAATATATTCTTGTTTACATGTATGAACTGTAGTTAAGTGAGCACTGTGTGCTTCCTTTTATTCAGATTAAATATTAATAATAAATCCATTTGGATTTTAAAAATTTGTAATAATCATTCACCTAGAGCTCGAGGTACATTTCCATTACAGTACATGACAAGAATGGATTCATGGATTTGGAAATTTAGAAATAAGGGATACATTAAAATGTATAATACTTATGAAAATAGTACTTTTCTGTGTTTTTTCAAACATTATTAATAGTACTGTATAACTATTAAGTTATACAGTACTATTAATTATTTTATAGTAAAGTTATACAGTACTATTTTTAACTAGTACAGTATTTTAAAACTATTTTGTCAAAGAAACATTGAAATTTAACATTTGTCCCATTTACAATTTTTAACCAAGACAGTAACATGGAAATCTATTTTGCTGCGTGAATATCTTTATAGTTACCAATTAAAATTTTCACAATGTGAAACTGTAGTAAAATTAATGAAATGCTTGCAAACATTTCATAGCTTTATAGCATTACTCCTGTCTTGTGCATGTATCTCTTGGCATTCTTGATTATTTGCTAATATATCTCTGTAGTATACTGTATTTACATTTCCAGTGAAGGAAGATCTTGCAGGGCTTGCTTGTTCTGAAGTGATAGGTAGCAAAGTAACACAGTAACATGTATGGTAACAATGCTGGAGTGTTATGTTGGTGTAGGCTCCTTTGCATTTACTGGTGGCCCATAATTTGTGCACTATGGTACCAGTTTATGCTAAATCCCAAAAGAAATACTTAAAAACCCAAAGTTACATGGGTTTACCCACTTTTATTATCAAGATTTATATATATATATATATATATATATATATATATATATATATATATATATATATATATATATATATATATATATATATATACATACATATGTATATATATATATGTATATGTATATATATGTATATGTATATATATGTATATGTATATATATGTATATGTATATATATGTATATGTATATATATGTATATGTATATATATGTATATGTATATATATGTATATGTATATATATGTATATGTATATATATGTATATGTATATATATGTATATGTATATATATGTATATGTATGTATGTATATATGTGTCGTACCTAGTAGCCAGAACTCACTTCTGAGCCTACTATGCAAGGCCCGATTTGCCTAATAAGCCAAGTTTTCATGAATTAATTGCTTTTCGACTACCTAACCTACCTAACCTAACCTAACCTAACTTTTTCGGCTACCTAACCTAACCTAACCTAACCTATAAAGATAGGTTAGGTAGGGTTGGTTAGGTTCGGTCATATATCTACGTTAATTTTAACTCCAATAAAAAAAAATTCACCTCTTACATAATGAAATGGGTTGCTTTATCATTTCATAAGAAAAAATTAGAGAAAATATATTATTTCATGAAAACTTGGCTTATTAGGCAAATCGGGCCTTGCATTGTAGGCTGAAAAGTGAGTTCTGGCTACTAGGTACGACATATGTATGTATATATGTATGTATATATGTATGTATATATGTATGTATGTATGTATGTATGTGTATGTATGTATGTATGTATGTATATATGTATGTATATATGTATGTATATATGTATGTATATATGTATGTATATATGTATGTATATATGTATGTATATATGTATGTATGTATGTATGTATGTATGTATGTATGTATATATGTATGTATGTGTATATATATATATGTCGTACCTAGTAGCCAGAACTCACTTCTCAGCCTACTATGCGGGGCCCGATTTGCCTAATAAGCCAAATTTTACTGAATTAATATATTTTCTCTAATTTTTTTCTTATGAAATGATAAAGCTACCCATTTCATTATGTATGAGGTGAATTTTTTTTATTGGAGTTAAAATTAACGTAGATATATGACCGAACCTAACCAACCCTACCTAACCTAACCTAACCTATCTTTATAGGTTAGGTTAGGTTAGGTAGCCGAAAACGTTAGGTTAGGTAGGTTAGGTTGTCGAAAAAACATTAATTCATGAAAACTAGGCTTATTAGGCAAATCAGGCCTTGCATAGTAGGCTGAGAAGTGAGTTCTGGCTACTAAGTACGACATATATATATATATATATATATATATATATATATATATATATATATATATATATATATATATATATATATATATATATTAATGTCGTACCTAGTAGCCAGAATGCACTTCTCAGCCTACTATGCAAGGCCCGATTTGCCTAATAAGCCAAGTTTTCCTGAATTAATATATTTTCTCAAATTTTTTTCTTATGAAATGATAAAGCTACCCATTTCATTATGTATGAGGTCAATTTTTTTTTATTGGAGCTAAAATTAACGTAGATATATGACTGAACCTAACCAACCCTACCTAACCTAACCTAACCTATCTTTATAGGTTAGGTTAGGTTAGGTAGCCGAAAAAGGTAGGTTAGGTTAGGTAGGTTAGGTCATCGAAAAAACATTAATTCATGAAAACTTGGCTTATTAGGCAAATTGGGCCTTGCATAGTAGGCTGAAAAGTGCATTCTGGCTACTAGGTACGACATATATATATATAATATATATATATATACTATATATATATATAATATGTGTGTGTGTGCAGGTGAATTTCAGAGTTATGCAGATTGAAAATGGATTAGCAGTTATAACCTGGGCTAATCTTCAGATATAGACAGATAATCTTCAGATATAATGGGCAGATATATATATGAGTAAAGTGTTCTCAGGTGTTCTCTGCAGTAAATTGGGCTCCCACATAACCAACTTTCTTTATAGTGTTGTATTGCCACTCTGGCTTAGCATTTTGTTTTGATAATTATTTCATTCTGTTTTGCAAAGTTGTTTTTTTTGCTATAGACTATTTATATATCATTACATATTCCAAATATTTTGGACTTCATTATGTGCTGAATTTGTCGATGGAAAGTAGAGGCATCTTTAATGTTGAAATAAGGTATTGTCAAGTAAAGTTGATACACGTTGAGTGATGCCTAACCCTGTTTTTTCCCCATATGCTTATTCCCTATGTATATGCTTGATTTACAAAGGTTTACATGCACAAACATAATTCCCCCATCTCCCCACGTTAATCAGGGACTGCCTGTCTAATAAAAAAGTACTTTTAAAATTTTGTTATTTTGTGAAAACAAAATTAAAATAATTCTTGCAATTTTAATTATGAATAAAATGTAAGAACAAATTAAGTGAATTGTTGTACACTACAACATGAGCATTTAGCTTCTTGCAACAATTTATTGTTGTTGACCAGACCACACACTAGAAAGTGAAGGGACGACGACGTTTCTACTTGAGAATGGTCCAGGACGGACTGAAATGTTGTCGTCCCTTCACTTTCTAGTGTGTGGTCTGGTCAACATACTTCAGCCACGTTATTGTGACTCATTGCCTGCAATTTAATGTTCATTGATTTTACAAATAAAGATATGCTCTTTGGTATTACTTTATTTTCAAGAGATTAAGCTTTATTTAACACTACTAATCCCCCCATCTTATTATTTTGTTTGTTTAGTAGGGCTTTAGATGACTGCAATGTAGTGGTTTTGACCTAATGAAGACGGTGTGTGTAGTGGCGCTCTTGGGGGAAGGGGGAAGGGCCCTCGAGCTAGTGCAGGTGTTGACCTTCCACCGGCCTCCTGTGTGTTTCTTACATTGGCTGCCACATTCTGTTCATGAAATTGTTTGACTGAATTCTTGATACAGTATCAACATTTCTCCACCGTGTTTGCATGTTATGTAGTTAATTCCCAGGTATTTTTAATTAATCCAATTACCATGACAAAATTATAAGAAAATCACTGTACAGGGTGTACTTACCTAGATGTACTTGTAAAATTGACCTTTAGCTGCTAAGTCCATTATGTGTGAGCACTCAAATGTGCCTGTATAATCAGAGCTATGCTCATGGTGTCATGTCTTTATAATTTTATTGTGTGACACTTGAAACTGCTGATGGTTTTGGCATCCACCAACTTCTCACTTACATTGTCCCAAATATCCATAGCTCAGTTTGCAAAAGAGAACTTCTGTATATTTTTTAGCACCTTTGATTCCTTAGCTTGAATTTATGGCCTCTTGTTCTTGAAGTTAGTTTTCACAAATTTATCCTTGTCAATTGTCGATTCCCCATGATTTTGTGTGTCGTTGTCATATCGTATATTTTCTTCCATCTCTAGTATTTTAATGCCTCCTGTTTCTCAATTCTAGACAACATTTAGTAGCACGTCTTTAAACCTTTTGATGTTTATTGATGTGCTTCTTGAGATATGGCCATCACACCCTGCTGCACATTCAAATATCAGCCTCACAAATGTAGTGAGCAATTTCTATAGTATTATTATTCCATTCATAAATTTAAAAGCAAATCTGAAATTTGCAAGCATAGCATGGACTCCTCTCATACCACCTCTGATGTGGTTCTCTGGTGACGTTTTACCCTTCAGAATCACTCCTAGATCTCTGTCCAGGGGCCAGATTGACGAAGAAATTACGCATGTACTTACGAGCCTGTACATTTTCCTCAATCTTTGACGGCTTTGGTTACATTTATTAAATAGTTTACAAGCATGAAAACTTAACAATCAACTGTTATTGTTATAAACAGCCTCCTGGTGCTTCAGAGCTCATTAACTATTTAATAATTATAAACAAAGCTGCCAAAGATTGGGGAAAGATGCATCCTTACCCATTGGCAGCCTTGTTGGTCTTCTGTTACTTATAACAAACTGCATACGCTTAAGAGTTGTGTCCTCATGGCCGTCCTACCACCGTAACCAGCGATGGGAAACGGCCCTAGTGAGGTTGTGTATTGGTCATACTCGCTTAACACGTGGTCACTTAATGGAGCGCCCCCCCTGCTCCTTATTGTCCAAGCTGCATTGTTCCTCTTACAGTCGTACATATCCTTGTTGAATGTCCTGACTTCCGGGACAAGCATGTCTTGTTTTCTGATCATCCCCCGCAATCGCTTGTCCCTCGATAGAATTCTTGGTGAACTGATACTTTTGATATTGCTCGCCTTGTGCGTTTCTGTTCTCGTATTGGCATCCTTGGTGATATTTAGCGCCCTCTGATTATTCCACACATTTGATGGTGTTACATAGCCTTCCCGGTTTGGTGCCTTTTGATAATTACTTACTTGGAGAAAGATGTACACGTTCATATGTACTTATGTAACTGCTTCGTGAATCTGGCCCCAGATTCTTTAGCATCTTTCCACAGTTTATAAGATTAGTGGTCTGTTTTTCCCTATTCCACATTACATTATTTGGCATTTATATTCATTGAATTCCATCTGCCATGTGATGCTTTATTCACTGTATTTTGTCTAGTTAATTTTGATGGCACGAGTGTCGTCTAAATCTAAACAAGTCGTTTATTCTTTCCAGTAACTGTGGATGATGCTAACATGTTCATATAGCTCTGAATGCCCTCTGGCAAATCGTTTATATAGACAGTAAACAGTATTGTGCTAGAACTGAACCTTCTGGTACTCCACTAGTGACATTTCTACAATCTGGTGCAGTGTGTCTATTTACTGCCTTACTTACTTTGTCAAAAGTTTTTTTTTTTAGCCATGTCTGTAGTCTGCCTGTCACCCCCTTCTGTATACTCTAACTTCTAGAACAACCTCTTTGTGTGGAATTTTTATTTATATATTATATATAATATATATATATATATTATATACACACAGTATATTTGTTTGTAGTACATTATGTAGAGTACAAGGTTTAACCCTGCAGTGAACACATTTCATGCGACAGCTGTGTGGCATGCAAAAAAAGAGATTCCCTGATCACGAGGAAACTTAAAAAAAAATTTTATGCAGCTTATTTTGGCTGTGGTAGAGAGATTATGGTGACGTCACTGATTTACGATCTGATGGACAAGATGCCTTGTGAGGCATCTAAAGATCTCTTCCTGGGAGATGAAGTTGCTTTATGTCTCGACCTTTGCCTTCTTAATTTTTAGCTTGTCCTCCTTTGTTGTTGTCCTCTTCCTTTGTTTATCAACCACTCTCCAACTACATTACCCTGCTTTATATTCTTCCACTTTACATTCTTGTACTTCACCAGCTCCCTTGCCTCTCATCTCTGCACTATGCTCCAGGCAGAACTCTTGATTTTGAAGTGGTCATGTTTTATGCCATTGTTGACCTCTGGCCTGCTGTTTATCCAGTAGTTTTACTGAAACTTCTAATTAGCATAACATAGTACGAGTATCCCTTGCAGCCTCTTACAAGGGATACTGTACGTAATCTGGCCCTACTGCCTTTATTATATCTAGTTTTTTTTTTTTTTTTAACTACCGTACCTCTACTGTATTGTCTATTATACTGTACTTTCACGTCTGTTTCTGGCTGTAACCTCCCATCCTCAGGCTCACTCTGGTTCTGATATGTAGTCCTCATAAATGAGACCAATTTTGGAACATGCATCATCAACGTGGTTTTCACACCTTCTCGAACTTGAGATAACCAGATTTGCCACCTGATGAGTTACTGAAGTAAATTGATGAAACTGAGGGCAGGCTGAAGACATTAAATGTCACACCATTGGATAAACAATCATGGAAGAGAGATGGTCATGACAGACAAAATACTGTGCCAATGACCTAATTAATGTTGCCAGAAGGATAATTTATCAATAAAGCAATAGGATGTTTGAAAAGGGTTGGATCAGGATGAACAAACTTAACATTGGAATGAACTAGACATACAAATATTTTCATGGATTCAAGTACAGTTATAGTATTGAGTGACAAAACCTATGAGATTTGGAAGATATTACACCAGTCAAATTATGGGTACAAAGGACCCCAGTACACACATATTGATAACAATCCAAAAATTATTTGAAACTAGTGTGAATTCTTTGTGTCTGGTGCACCACCAGTCACTCTTTCGCTGCTGTCCTGGTGTTTTTCTACAAGCTGCTTCATTGTATACATGGGGAAGGTACTGGTGCAGACATTGACTCACAATGTGGCTGAAGATATAATGTCCAAACCACACATTAGAAGATGAAGAAATGACGCCGTTTCGGTCCATCCTGGACCATTATCAAGTCCAGGAGAGACTTTCTAATGGTCCAGGATGGACCAAAACACTGTTGTTTCTTTGTCTTCTGATGTGAAAGTACTGGTGTCAGGCTGTCATGAGGTTGCATAAAGAAATATGATCCTATAACTCTCGGCATTATTTCAACTTTAAGCTATGATAATTTGCAGATCAGATATGCTACTCTATTGAGAGATGACCCAAACTACTGGCAAGTCGAGATTTGACTTGCCAGTATTCTGCATACTGTATTTAAGTGCATATTGTACATGCAAGTTATGAGCACTAGTACTGTACTGTCTAGAAATATGATTCCAGTATTGTAATCAGGTTTATATAAATTAAAATTAAAAAAATAAATTAATAATTTAATGAATAACAGCAAAGATTTGGGGTGTAATAACTGTACATATGGTCTAAATATTCTTGAAGTATCAGAAAGCTTTTAAGCTTTTATTATCTTTGGAATGTTGAGAGATAAGCTTTCATAGCATAACAGAGCTATACTTAGAGTGTGCAGTTTTATTAAAATTTACTGTGTACACAGTTTGAATTTAAATTACACAGTAACCTTGGTACTGTGTACCAGTACACAGTACAATACAAAATTATTCTGTATATATTGAACCAGAAGTGTCTTCTGAAGTTACTAGTCTGAAATGAGATGGATCAATTTCCATCACTTGGGTAATGCTGGCATCGTCATTTTCTTGCATTGTTATTGTAGAAACTTCACCTTTTGGAATCAGAGTAAGAACAGAATCAGATCTTTTACTAGATGAATCTTCAAGAATCACTTCTGACAAGACATCCGAGGATTCTACCGAGGTAATAACTTCTCCACAATCGGTTGATAATGAATCATGTTTGCTTGTGACTGCAACCTGGAATTAAATGAGGTAATGTTAACACAACCCTTTAATTAATTTACATAACTTTAGTCTTTCAGAAATTGAGAAGTTATGGAATTACTGAATTCAAAATATAAATTTTCAGGGCACATGCTTATCACTCGATACAATATGAAAACCGACAACTTGTGTGGTTGATGAATTCCTGGAAAATGTCATGTTAATCCTAAGTAAAAATAAATGCAGTCAAACCCTTAGCTTAAATTGAGAGGACACACATTTCATACTCAACCATTGGAGCAATTTGTCAAGAGAAGTTGGGACTTCGACTTGATCACAAATCGAAGTCCCAATGTCTGTTGGTGTACATGTGTGGTTGGTGCTGCAATTCTTGCACGGTTAGGTGCTAGGGGGTTTCAGGCTTTCCTTTGTCCCTTTTTTGAGTGTTTTCTTCATTTTGCCCTTTTCTGCTTGGGGCTTTCCATTTTGCCTTATTACGCTTTTCCTAGGGTTGGTGCGGTTGACCCTTTCCTTCTTATGTTACTCCCCAAACCTTTCCACTGGCTTCGGGTAGCCAGGGTGTCTGTCCACTTATATAGAAGGTTACCAGCATAGCAGTCCTAGTGCCTGGGCATACCTGTAGGGAACATTCACCCTGTATGCCTTGGGGAAAACCCCAGTGGCCTTGATTGTACTGTGGGTACCTCTTCCGAGCCCGCTCTCACTTTGTGCAAATTTAAGGGTGGTTCGTCATCTGTGCCACTGGGTGACATACATATGTCCTACCTCTGCCATGTTGCCTGCTGGGTTGGTGACACCTTCGATCTTGAGTCATCTCGAACTTGTGCCCCACATGTGACGTTTTTTATCTACTCTCCTCTTGAAGTTCAGAGGAATCAGGTGGTGAACCACTTTGCATTTGAGGTTGTGTGTGTGTTGCAGTACCCATCTAGTTGTGCTTGTGGGAGTTGAGCTTCAACTCTTTTGTCCTGCCTCTCAACTGTCAATCAACTGTATCATTATGTTTGGAGATCCTTTTTGATATGTTTTGGAATGCCTTACCTTGTGTTTACGTTATGTTAGTTCTAAGGATCAATATCCCTGGTCTTTGACTAAGCCTCCTGGCTGGTGGTCTAGTCAACCAGTCTTAGATTCAGCTGCATGCATTCTCAGGTATGAATCACAGCCCAGTTGATCAGGTATCCTTTGGAGGTGTATATCAAGATTGCATGTGGAGCACAATATTGAATGTTTTAGAGCACTCTAATTTAAATTTTATTGTGACCTACTTAGAACTACTATCCATTACTTGAACCCTCTCAGTTACAAGATGGTCAGTGACTACTGTACACTGTTCTTCTATTTCACTAGGCTAATTTATTCCATAGATTTTAACAGGGGAGCCGGTCGGCCGAGCGGACAGCACGCTGGACTTGTGATCCTGTGGTCCTGGGTTCGATACCAGGCGCCGGCGAGAAACAATGGGCAGAGTTTCTTTCACCCTATGCCCCTGTTACCTAGCAGTAAAATAGGAACCTGGGTGTTAGTCAGCTGTCACGGGCTGCTTCCTGGGGGTGGAGGCCTGGTCGAGGACCGGGCCGCGGGGACACTAAAAAGCCCCGAAATCATCTCAAGATAACCTCAAGATAACCCCCTTACTTTAACTTAATCCATTATATAAAAACAAATTCAACTATGGAAGATTCTGCACTTAAAAGTTGACATAATGAAAATGCTATTCAAGAAAGGAGTACCTGGTATTGATCTGTAATTTCTAATTAAAAATATAGAGCTCACTAGTCACTGAATTTCTTACTGGCAATTGCAACAAGAACAACATCACCTGAGCGGAAAGGCACAAAGTTTACCTGATTAGATGCATTATCCTCGGCCAGCACAGTGACCTGCATTTCCTTCGAGTTGTCATGGTCTTCATTTTCATCTGCATAAATAACAATATAACTGTCCTCTCCACTTATATCATCTGCTCCTACTAGTGATATGAATGGTGCTGTAGCAAAAGCTACTGTTCCTTCCTCCTTTTCTGCATTTGTATTTGCACTATTAGAGCCCAGTAAAAATTCCAGTTTATGACAGTCTGTAATATGGCTTTCAATGGTTGAACGCCTCATAAAACCTTCTCCACACAACTGCATGAATAGAAGAAAGAAGTATTATTACAACAATTCTAAGCATTATATAAAATTTATATTAATAAAGGCTTCTTTTATCAACTTTATTTCATTTATAAATACTGTAAATGTACCTTTAAAATTTCAAAACAACACTGATCTAAATATATAAAAAACAATTCACAAGAAATTACTTTATATTTATTATTTATTAGAGTACTCTATGCATTTTACATACTGTATTACAAATTAATATTCTTGTTAATGCAATTTGATTTTAATGCTTACTTCACATCTGTACCGCTTGTTTGTAGAATGAACATACATGTGGGTGGCAAGATTGTTTTTCTTGTTAAAAGCCCGATTACATACATGGCACTTGAATGGCTTCTCACCAGTATGCACTTTATTGTGTTCTTCCAGTTTGGGTTTACTAATGAAAGTTTTTTTGCATATATCACAAGAATACTTCCTTATATTGAAATGAGCATACTGTACATGCTTTGCTGCTGATGAATGTGTTGAAAAATTTGCATTACAGACAAAACACTTAAAAGGCTTTTCTCCAGTGTGAGTTCTCTCATGATTTTTCCAAGTGCTATACTGTTTAAACCATTTTGTACAATAATTACACCCATAAGGCCTCTGATTATTATGTATTCGCATATGAGTCCACAGGTAAGATTTGCGGTTGAACTGTTTACCGCACACCTCGCATGATACTCTCGTTTCTCCCAAATGGCTTTTCATGTGCAAAATGAAATTCCTTTTATCAGTCAGTAGTTTAGAACAAATTTCACAGAAGAACTGCTCTTTTTTCCAGGAGTGAACAGATCGCATGTGTAACTGAAGATATCTTGATAACTGAAAATACAGTAATATGAATTAATGAAGAAAACCCTACTACACAATATCATTCACATTGTACAACACAAAAGTTTAACCAAATTTATTATACTATATTATGACTTCTGTGCTAATTTATAAACTACTTGAGATAATAAAAAGAGGTAATATGATCACTACATACAAAATAATAACAGGAATTGACAAAATTTACAAATGAATACTTGAAAACTGCAACTACAAGAAGAGGGTATAGATTCAAGCTAAGGAAGCAAAGATAAAAAAAAAAAATAATCTTTTACATCAATCAAAAAAAAAAAAAAAAAAAAAAAAATTATCTTTTGCAACCATCAACAGAGCTGATGGTTGAAACAAGTGAGAAGGTGGTGGATGCCAACACCATTAGTATTTTTAAAGCATCATATGGTAGAGTACTGGGAAGATAAGACACCATGAGCTGTTCTTATCCAGTAACTACAATTAGGTAATTACATACACACATGCATGTGAAGACAAAATTATACGGATGCACTTGGAGTCGAGTTTCCAAGGGAAACAACTGATTAATTATAAAGATAACTAAATTTCTTCAGCAACATTAAAATTGTTCTCCAAGCTTTCAGCATGTGGAAATTGGTGAAATGTAAGTGGAGGATTTTACATCAGGCTGGCCATTCAAGGGAGGAATTTTTCAAGTACACAATGTTTGAAAGATATTGACAGAAGAATAGCAACATTTATATAGTTTTGAACATGACAAATTTCCCACACAATCTGTCTTTGGTAAAAAATTTGACTAAACATAGTGCGTGGCAAATATGTATCTTGCTTAAACAATTTAAATACATAATATATATTTGTTTATGTATTGTTCATAATATATCTGATGTTTCCCATAAAATATCTTAAAAAAAAAAATACAAAATGAATACTGAACTTTATTCAGATAAAACCACAGACTTACCTTGAATGGTTTCTCACACAGCGGACACTTGTGTGGCTCAGCATCGCCGCTCTTGCTAACACAGACTGTAACGTGTGCATCTCGGTAACGCTTCTTTGCAAAAGTGGCACTGCATATATGGCAATCAAAGCTAGCATCATTCTGCACACTGTGTACGGACTGCAGGTGACGATACAGATCATTATGCGTGCTGAATATCTCTGTGCATTCGGGTATCTTACATTTGTAGGGTTTGATGTTAAAGTGCACCTGAAAGTAATGGCACTCGTGTAAAGTTCATAATATATTATATTTAAGAGAAAATTGCTTTTTGTTTAATATAATTGAATGCTTATTTACTACATCAAATAAGACTGCAGAACTCCTCACTCTACCTGAGAATCACGGTAAAGATGTGCTTATACAAAATGTGAAGAAATTAAGTATTTTAACTTAATTAGTTGAGAAAATGTGATACTGTATAACATGTTTACCTTACAGTACTGTAAGATTAGTTTACCATACAGTAGTGCAAGATTGGTTCACTATATAGTAGTGTAAGATTGGTTTATTATATAGTATAGTAAGATTGGTTTATTATACAGTACAAAAAAATTGGTTTACTGCACAGTACTGTAAGATTGGTTATAGTACACAGTACTATAAAATGGTTTACTAACTTTTCTTTCCACTTATTTATTGATCAAGTCTTAATGGCCAATCTCATCAACCCTTAAACCAGTCCTGTTATTCTGAATCAATAGACCTGTGATGCTCCTTTCATTTGTGAATGATTAATATACCTCTGACTGTTCTAGGTTCCTACATAATCTATGTGGCTGGCATTCTTCATGAGAGACCTCGGGCAATCATTTGCCATATTGGGACAAAATAACCAGAAAGCCACAGTTATCTTCTTGAACCTTATTGTACACACTTGGCACCATTTCAGGTGTTTCAGCATCCACTTACTGATGCCTATGTTTGGAAACATTGACACTGGAAAAATTTCAAAAACGTTTATGGGCCAAGAAGATATTTATGATAGAGATATCTATTAGAAATAGTTTGTCTGAAAATTAATTTTAACCAATAAGAAGTGGCTGACCCAAATTCAATAAAAGCCTGGTCCATCAAAGGCAAGAGGTCCTGGTTATGAAGAAGGAACCAAAAAGATAGCCAGCCGCACTGCCAGTGTTGAAAGATGGGGAATTTGGAAACCTGCACATAGTACATCACCTCTGTGGATTCCACTCAAATCCAGAAGTGTAGATCGAGGGTAGGCAAAGGTTAGCCACCATGCAATCCATCTTAATTAACAAAGGGGACCACACACCATTAGACATCAGAAAGAATTTTGTCAGTATAAGAGTAGTTAACAAATGGAATGCATTAGGCAGTGATGTGGTGGCGGCAGACTCCATACACAGTTTCAAATGTAGATTTGATAGAGCCCAATAGGCTCAAGAATCTGGACACCAGTTGATTGACAGTTGAGAGGCGGGAACAAGGAGCAAAGCTCGACCCCTGCAAGCACAACTAGGCGAGTACACCTTCCATGTTAACCAAATAACCTTCCTCAGAGGAAACCAGCAACTAATTAAAGTAAAAAGGCACCCAGTTACTGAACTTTGGGTCTCCTCTCCCCAGCCCCGGACACCTCAGGAAGAGGAGACACTTAAGAGCAGTGCCAAGATCCATGCCAGACATAGAAGACAGAAACATGTCTCCCCACAGGGAAGGATCCAGAGAAAGAAACCCTGGAATGGCAAAGGCAATGTCCATCATAGCCTTGAGCTATCATCTCTAGATGGTTTCAACACAATACTAAACAATATATACAGTATTTGTAATATATCAAGCTACTGCAAATATGTCAAGATATATTTGCAAATATATATCAAGATATATTTGTAAATATATCAAGATATATTTGCAATATATCAAAGTTAATACATACTTTGTTATAATGGCCGATGAGGTCCCTTTTCCGCACATAAGAGGCACTGCAATGGTCACATGAAAAGCTCTGTCCTTTGTGGGATGCTGCATAATGATCACAAGCACCCCGCTGAGTGGAGAAACCTTTGTGACACTCGCTGCAAATCCAAGGCTTTTTTGAGGTACCTTCAGTTCGATAGCACATCTTTTCCCGTTCTTCGCGCATCTGTGAACGTTTCTTACCCTGTAATAAAAAATATTTAATATTGCAACTGGATAGTGAGTATATATCAGGCTTTAAATCAATATGAAAAGCTCCTATCTGAGCACAGATACAGCTGCATTTATGCACGCCCTCCATGTGCACCAAGTGCTCTATTCTTTTGTGTTTGTGTGGAATGCAAGCACTTTTTCTCTCTTTTAATTAATAAAACTAATTTAGAATATGAATTATTTAGCAACAGATTAGTCAAGCTGGGGAAAGAAAAAATAAACAGCATTAAACTCCCGGACGCAGGTTCGAATCCTCGTTACGGCTCTTGTGGATTTGTTCATTTAAACAGCATTAAATGTAATGAAATGCCTCTTTATGGTTCTGTTTGGCTTACTGGGGCCAAACAGAAGGGTGGGATGAAAAAGTGAGTGCAACATTGTAACATTTATCATCATTTGTTTACATGGTTTGGGGAGTTCTATGGCCATTTTCAAACCTGCAGGTCTCGAGAGGAAGCCAGCTGTGGTTTATTTTGCCTCGCTGACTTTCTGGGTGCCTTCCTCAGTGGTAGCATAAATAAATAACGTAATATATAAATTTTGTCTTTGAGAGGGGTTCTGGCTCCCCAACGGGGCAGAAAACTCCGCGACTCATGCCATCTACATCAGAGATGGTAGCTTCAGGGAGCCACAAGGAGGCTTCTCCCAGAAAAAGTATCAAGGCTGCAGTAGATGAGAATCCACAAACAGCATTACATAGAATTAGCAATATCACACATTAAAAAGACATCTACCGCAGCACTCCACTACTTCATTAGATCAAATGCATAGAGCACTTCATGCATCATTCCGTAGTTAAACACGAACACCCCATTTAACAAATTAAATCCATATACAGTAGATTTGTTTTCTGCTTCTGTACTTCTGATGCGTTTTTCACTCCCATTACCTGCTTCCTCACCATGTCTGCTTATCCTAATCATCCTCACATTCTCCTACTTACAAGTAAGTAATTATCGAAAGATGGCACCAAGCTGGGGAGGCTATGTAGCACCGTCAAAAGTGCAGGATATTCAAAAGGCGCTAAATATCACTAGGGATGCCAATACGAAAACAAAAGCGCATAAGGCGAACAACATCAAAGGCATCTGATTCACCAAGGATACTATCGAGGGACAGGTGACTGCGAGGGACAGTTGGGAAGCATGACACACGCACATCCTGGAAGTCAGGACACTCAACAAGAATACACACGATCATAAGAAGGACAATGCAATTCGGACAAGAAGAAGCAGGGCGGCGCTCCATTAAGTGCCGTGAGTTAAGTATGTATGGCTAATACCTCCTACTTACAAATTCCCTTCAATACACTGCACTGTCACCACAATCATCGAACCATTATGAACTCTGTACGCTCCTCAAACGTATAAATTAGGCAACCATATTTTGCATAGCACATCCTCTCATTCCATTTTCATTCTTTACTCTTTCTATTCATTATAGCAACATCATTAAAACTAGTTTGCTTTGTATTTTGTAAGTCTATCAAAGTAAAAAATTCAAAGAAGTAAATTTAAAAAATTAATGTCCAACAATTTCATATGCATGTCATAGAACTTACCAAAACTTTAAGTTGATTGCCGACCCCAGTTACCTCACGTTCTTCAGAAGGCACTCTAGAAAGTTGGAGGTCTTTATGCTCATCAGTACTAGTAGATATTTCTGGATCGTCCACAATTTTTGCCATACCATCCTGCGTATCATCTCCATCACAATTAGCCATGAGATTGGTATTTACATCTCTAGGTTCAGTACATGCTGGCATGTCGTGCTTCTTTCCTTTAAAGATTTCATGATTTTTGGTTGTATTCTCATCTGCTACATGTAACGCATGTGTTGTATTACTGGAAAATGCAGGCGAGTTATCAGGTGGCAATGTGTTACTAACTTCACTAATACAGTTCGAGTTTTGGTCACAGTCATCCAAAACTTCCGTCTGAAAATTTCTTATGCTTCTCCTATCTAACTCTTTATCACTCATTTTGAGTTCCTTCTTTATCACTTGTGCTGATAATGATCCCAAAGTAAATTTTTCCTTATTTATATTAGAATTTACCACTAACAACGTATCTTCTTGCAAGGTAGTTAATGAAGAAAGTGAACTACTTGCAGTATCATCCCAAAACATTGATTCAGAATTGGGCAATACAGAACGAAAACAATTTTCTATAGGTTCACTCTTAATTAGAACCTGCTCATTTATTTTGGTAGATGTTTCTTTACATTGCATTTCTGTACCTTCTGTTTCCATTGAACATAATGAACTACTTTCTCTTTCTTTCTTTATGATACCTTTAGTGATATATTTAACCATATTTGTCATACATGCCCTTTCTTCTTCTTCACTGACAAGAACAGGAGTCAGTTTTTCTATTTCCTGTCTTCTTGGCCTCCCAGGTCCCTTCCGTGGCTTCGTTATTTCCATTATCTCGCAAGTTTCTTTCATGTATGCTTCTATATCTGCTAAACTTTTTCCAATACCTTCATTCATTTCTAATATGTCAATATCTATGTTAGATATTTTTTTGCTACCTTCTCTATCACAAGCAACTTCTGAAAGATCAGTATTTTCCTTCATGTTGCAGTGCTGAATTTCCAAATGATGTTTGTGTCCAGTTGTTCCATTTAACCTTGACATTAAATCACATTTCATTGAATTTAACTTATTCTCCATATCAGCAATTTTGTCAATAAGCAATGCACATTTCTTACATAACACCCAAGGCTCTATTATTGACTGAGAATCTATAACATAGGGTAGAAATTGCTGAAATTTTTTCAGAGCATTAGACTGATGTCCATCAGGAATTTTGTTAAACCAATTAGAGGACTTTCTAAAATCTGTGTTTGTGTGCGCTTTACAAGCTATGCACAAAGGCTTTATGACGTGGGTCGACTTCATGCATTCATCCAAAATAATGGTAACATTTTCAAATTCCTCCTTAAAATCCATGGGTTCTTCTTTCACAACAACTTGGTCAGGAGCTCCAGAAAATAATGACTCACTTTCACCGGCAGCTGAAGATTCAACCAAATCCTCCTCGTCTTTCTCATCCAGTCTCAAGTCCGTTTTGACCCGCACTGGTCGATCAGATTTGGCCAGGTGATAATTTTCCTTATGGGCTTCAAGGCTTGCTGCAGTAGAGAATAACTTGAAGCATAAATAGCAACGATGAGTTCTGTCTCTACTTGTTCTGTTAGTTCTATGAAAATTTTGATCTACACTCATTTTCTCAATTTGTTGATTATAATGTTTGGATTTTATTTTAAATTCACCATCACATTTTATGGCTTCTTCACCTGAAACATTCTTTGTAGACTTCTTTATATTAGGGACTGTATTTAATGTTGAATTACTTTCCACCACCTTGCCATTTACTACAGGGCTATCAACTTTTTTTAATTTTTTTCCCCTTTTTCTGTACTCTGAATTAAATTCATCTTCAAAATCTGACCACTGATGATCTTCCTCTTTACTAGATTCTTTCTTATTTGCTAAATTAGAGAGAGATTTTCGTTTTGATTCAACTTTTTCCTTTACTTTACAATTTATTACATGTTCCTTGAAGAGTTTGTGCATAATATATTTTTTCCCACATTTATTACACTGAGATTTTTCATGATTTTTACGATGCTTCAAAAACTCTTTTAAGACACTACACTTAAACAAACACAAGCGACACTGAAAGGACGTCTCCTTGCTGTGGACAGCTTGTATATGTGATCGTACATACTGAGCGTTGAGGAATTTGGCACCACAGACGAAGCACTCATCATTCCATTCTTTATGATAGCGACGACAGTGAATTTGAAGGGATCTTTCCGAATGTAAAGTAGCACCACATTCTTCACACGTTAATATGGAAAATCTGAAAAGCAAAACAAAAATAATTATACGCTGCACTCTAGCTCAGAGGATAATTTTTAAAGAGCAGTAATTGTGAATAACTATGATTTATTTGAAAGTTAAATAATAAACCCAAATAATAAATTATACAAAATTAGTGTGTTTTAGATCAAGGTAAACAAATCTCAAAATAATTACTGTAATGGTAAAAATTTTACGTATTAAGTTCATTCATAAAGTTTGCGAAGTGCACTTTATTTTAATTAACCTGGAAAATGCTCCTCGTACCTGTTGGTAATGATATTTTCTTTTGGCTCCTTTTCTTCTTCCACTGGTCGCAATACCTTCACCTGAAACATTTTGATACCATATTCAAGTTATTAAGTATCCAAGACAAAGTTGATGCTAAAGATAAAATGGGTGTACCAGCAGCAGTGGAGTTAGAAGTTTTAGGTAAAAAATTACATGACCTCAAGTGCTCAAGTGCAGATTTTCCAAGAACGCAGCAGTTTTTCAAAAATGAAAGTGAAATTAACAGTTGTGTGGTGAAAAAGCAAGGTAAGAAAAGCATTTGAATATTGGTTGAATGATAAGGAGGAGGTAGAGTTAAATGATTCAGGCACAGAAGAGTTAATTATGGAAGATGAGCTCATCCCAGATTTGCGAGATGCCATATACAGTACTACTCTGGGCAAAATATATGCGAATTACCATCATTGTTAGTCAAGTAACTGAAGCATTAAACAAGTGCCATGGCAAATGGATGGAAGGACAAAGCCCTCTACTGTATTCCACCCCTCTGCTGGCAGTAGAAAGAAATTATCACAAGAGGAAATTATTATTACATTAGGAAAATTTATAATTATCAGGATATGTCAAGAGGTACAGTACAATAAGTGTAAAAATCAAGATGAATGGAGATAATAACTCGCTTTATCCCATTTAGCTAAGAATGGAATATATTTAATAGAAATAAGAGGATAATAATTCAGACAAAATACAGTTTGATAGCATGTGTGAGAACGATCAAGAAATCCAACTCCAGGTAGACATACATTGGAATATAGACAGGGTGGTGCAAGGAGTATAGAGAGTATAGGAGAACAAACTGGTGAAATTAATTCAGGTCATTGCATGAGTAAAGGATTGAGTAATTTACGTGTGTTTAAATCAACAATTTAGACCTATTGCCTTACTTATGAGTCTCTGTCCTCACTACAGTCACCCAGTGACTTTCACAATCGACTTGAGAATGGTCCAGGACAGACCGAAACGTCGTCGTCCCTTCACTTTCTAGTGTGTGGTCTGGTCAACACCTATACTGTATCTTCACTCTTTTTTTACAAATGACTTCTATCCAGCTTTGTCCATTACCATACATTGCTTATACATTGTGAACACTCACTTCCCACTTCCTCACCATGTTCATCCATCATCTTCCAGACCTTCCATTCCATCTACACTCAAATTCATTTGAATTAATATGCTATCTTCACCACTCTCCCATCATCCATTCTAAACAAAACCAGTCATATAAAACATTTATATGACATACCACAGATCCAAATACAGAAGCAATATTCTGTAGAATCGTGTTCTGTCCGTTTGGTCCTTTCTGCTGGTATTTTGCAACAGATGACAAATTGTGGGCAATCATATCTCCTCTGTCAGTCTGAACAATTTTTCCTTCCCCAAGAGACTTGCGAGGTAGATGCACTGTTGGATCAAGATAAAAAGAATTAAAGTTTAAATAAAAAAAGCTATAGATTCCAATAAAGGGATGCCATTTATGTACAGTATTAAACATTCATAACGGCAAAAACGTTTAAAAGAGGCCAATTAACTCGGATCACTAATAGACGAGCAATTAGAGGAAAGGTGAATGTCCCCTGCTCCAATTAGGGGTTCTTGAGAAGCACTAGCCCAAGATTCCAAGTGGTGAATTTGAATCTAATACGAAGAAACTATGAGACTTGGAGCAGCTTCAGTTTGGGGGTATTGTGTTACACTACAGTAATTACCATATAAAATATAGAAAGACATTTAATACAAATGTAACATAACTTACTTTTAAGAGGTAATCTTTTCTTAGTCTTGGGATTTAATAGAATACATTGTTTGAAATTGGGTGTAATAGTCAATAAAGGATCTTGGGTCGAGAGTGAAGCAACAGACATCTCGATTGGTTTAGAAGTACTCATATTTTGGACCAAACTTTTCTCCACCTCCAGGTCATCCATTTTGGAAGAATCATTTAAAGAATGTCCATTGCTGTTACTGTCTTCTTGTTGACATATGGGTACAAGATCCTCCTCATGATCCTTGATAGACTTAGCAATACTTGAGGATGATATTGAGGGACCCATATAAGTATGTTCACTTATTTCAGAAGAATCTTGTGCAATATCTACTAAAGTATTACTCTTGAGCATCACTGATGAAACAGAGACTGGACTCCTACAATAAGAAAATAATAATAATAGTTTCAAGTACATCATTTATGAATGTACAGTTTCCGTGGTGTAGTGGTAAGACACTCGCCTGGCGTTCCGCGAGCGCTATGTCATGGGTTTGTACCCTGGCCGGGGAGGATTTACTGGGCGCAATTCCTTAACTGTAGCCTCTGTTTAACGCAACAGTAAAATGTGTACTTGGATGAAAAAACGATTCTTCGCGGCAGGGGATCGTATTCCAGGGACCTGTCCGAAACGCTACGCGTACTAGTGGCTGTACAAGAATGTAACAACTCTTGTATATATCTAAAAAAAAAAAAAAAAAAAAAAAAAAAAAAGAATGTACGATAAACACATTAAACATCTTAGATTTAACTTTGAAAATACTCTCCCAACATCCCCAGGTTTATAGTTTACAAGTTAAATATTTTAAGTATCTTATAAAATTTAAATAAAAATCTAAAGAAAGCCGTGAGTACTGTATACGACAAATACTAACCTGAGCAGAATACCCAGAGATGAATAGTATCTCCTTGTAGTTAGGGAGCCAAAAAAAAGATCATACTAGCATATTCTGGAGAGTGTCGTCAAACTATGGTAACTTGCAGTAATTATTGATGTATTAGGTTTATTTTTTATTTTTATTTATTTATATATACAAGAGTTCTTACATTCTTGTACAGCCACTAGCACGCGTAGCGTTTCGGGCAAGCCCTTAATCTTATGTTCCCCGGAATACGACCCGCCAAATTCTTTAACAACCAAGTACCCATTTTACTGTTGGGCTAAACAGAAGCTACATTTAAGGATTTATACTCAGTAAATCCTCCCCGCCCAGGATACGAACCCAGGACAAAGCGCTTGTGAAACGCCAGGCGAACGTCTTACCAGTACGCCACGGAGACTGCACTTAGTTTTTTTGCAAAACTAATTGTATGAATCAAAAGAAGAGACAATTCTACTAAAGACACTGAATATTTTCTAATAGTAAAAGATTATAGACATTAAATAATAATAAATATAAAACATCATTAGTTCATTCAGCATCACAGAAAAGAAAGCATTACCATGCACAAGCAATCATCCACAACACACAACAGGCAAACAGTACTCTTCACGAATTATCATGTATATTACATACAAATTCATTTACTCGAACACTGTCGGAAGATGTAAATTATGTATATTACGATTAAACTAGAAGATTTAATGTTCTTTCTTTAAGAACTTTTGTTTCTTTCAACATCATCATCTGTTCCTAATTTATTTATGTTATACAGTATTCCATAAAGCAATATAAACCTGCCTTTGCCTTTTGGACCCTGGGCAGGTATGGGCCCCTACATCCGAGGCTATTTTGACCTTCAGATGGAAGAAATTTTGGGAAGATGGGTAATCCCATTCCTTCAATGCATGAAAATCAGTATTATACACAATACAGAAAACACTAACTGTGCTGCATCCTTTCCAGCTCTATCAGGAGTATTGATAAGAAATACATCTTCAGTGCTATTGCCACCAACAACAAATATTTGTACTTGATCATCGCCAACTGAACTTGAGGCTTCACTCCCGCCACACTCTACAGCTTCAACTTCCTCCAGTGCTGAGCTTTCTTCATCATCTTCACCAATGGGTCCTAATACCTAAAGAGTAAAAATTAAAGAGTGTAAGTGAATGTGTAATTACCAAAGTGATTTTCTTAATTACCAAAACATAATTACAAGACGAACTATGCTCATGCTGCCATACCTTTCCAATTAACTATGTCATATTAAGGTTTAAAGCCTTCAGTGGTGATAGCATACCTACTTTTTTTTTTTTAGTTTAGTCCATTTACTATGCACCCCATACCCATTCTGTGAGCAGTAGTAGAAATGGTTACAATGGGTTCAAGAGCCAAACCCCAAATTTTTTTCAGCTAAGCAAGTTATAGGACTGAATGGGCTGCATTATTAGTAATGAGAGATATACTGATGTGATCACAATTTTCACTGGTATCGTATGTGCCTTTAACATAAACTCGCATAGAAGAAAAACAATCCCTTAAATTGCCCATTTCTAAGAGCCTATGTAGGAATTGTGTCCCCTGAATATGCAGGAATAAACAAAACTGATAAGAGTATATAAGATATGATGCTGGAGGCAACACTAAAGCTGAAGACAGAAGTGGAACTCATCAGTATAGATCTATAGGAAGATAATACCTGAATGATCTGGCCATCTGGAGTCTGGAAAAAATAGTGTCCAGAAGGTGAGAGCTGCAACTGAGGTTCAGCTTCCCCTTCATTATCTTCTTCCTCACATGTTTCCTGCCGTTCACTCTGTTCAATTTTCTCTTCTTTAACTTTTGGTAGGCCTGCATCCTTAAAAGTCTCAGTCTTTTCAACAACAGAGGAAATGGCAATAATATCTGTGACATCTTTCTCATCATCTGAAACAATTTACATATATGAGGACTGAGTAGAGATTAAATATAACGGCATGTAGCTTCTAACAAGTCTTTAAAGGTCATGAACAGCCTTCAACATCACAGTGGTTCAATTAATCAATGCCATATTTTCCCTACTTCTCCTACTTCTATCAGAAGAGACATCAGCCCAGAAAAGATTGGAGATAACATAGAAAATTTCCATTTTAAATTACACCTGTTTGCCTTACCTTACGCATCGAACAGCATCATGGAGATCCTGCAACACCAAAATTAATATACATTCATTGCTACATAATCATAATAAATATGTCAGCAAGTAGAGGTTCATAAGAAACCAGTACACAGTGCTCCTTGAATGAAACAAACATAAACAAAGCAGCCATTATCCCACACCAGGGAGCCGGTTGGCCGAGCAGACAGCACGCTGGACTTGTGATCCTGTGGTCCTGGGTTCGATCCCAGGTACCGGCGAGAAACACTGGACAGTTTCTTTCACCCTATGCCCCTGTTACCTAGCAGTAAAATGGGTACCTGGGTGTTAGTCAGCTGTCACGGGCTGCTTCCTGGGGGTGGAGGCCTGGTCGAGGACCGGCCCGTGGGGACACTAAAAAGCCCCGAAATCATCTCAAGATAACACACACATTCCCATAGTGGGTAATCAGCCTTATCAAACTCTAATAAGCAGCATGAGGTTTATAAGTATATACTGTACAGACATTTATCACTATAGCAAGAAACAGTATGCTAAAATGCTGCTTTTTAATTATGCTGGCAGCAAAGAAACTGATAATATAATATAATTTCTTTGTTTGCATAGACAACCGTGTACCATATGCAAGCATAAACATGGAGGGACAAAGCACACATCCATAATGTGTGTACATAATGCTAGTACATAATGTACTAGCTGTATCTATTAATGTACTAGCTCTATCTATTGTATGTACTAGCTCTATCTATTAATCCAACAAACTTTGTAAAATCTCTTGTATGTATGTACCTTACCTAAATAAACATTTATTTATTTATATTTATTTATCCAATAAAATGCACTAACTGTATTAACAAGTGCTTTATTAACCAAGAGAAAATTACTGTATTCACAATGTATCTTAGCAGTTGACAAGCCTTCGGCTTGAATTTATTAGTTGCCAATGTAAATGATTGGTTGAGATACTTTTAAGCTCATGATAGTTTAGTGGGTAGTGCATGTGTCTGCGAAGTACAGGAACACAAGTTCTATCCTACCACATTACCTCAAATAGTAAAACCATAATAGTGCTGATTATGTATAGCACTATTTCAATCATCCAGAACAATGCCACTTTCAAAAAAGAATCTTTTCAAGAAAGTGACTATGTATCATGTGTTAAGGTAGAGTTTTTTCAGCAATGTTGTGCTAAACATACATAGACCTTAGCAGTATTTATTCATTCTGCAAGTGTAGAGTATTGTAATCACTTCAATTTAAGTTATAACTTTCTCTAATAGATATAAATACAAGAAAGGGTAGATTTGTGTTGGCTTAACCCTGTTTTCTCATGGAATAGCAGGGAAAAATGACATAGAATCAGCATTGAATGTAATGAAACACCAATTTCTAGGCGAGTTCCAGAGACTCCCCGGAGCCTACGGGGCTCCCCCCCCAGACAATATATTACATGGACCAAACAAAAAAGTACAGTATGAATAATTTTCTTAAGTACAGTACTGAATAATAGTTTATATATTTTAGTGCCATACCTTCTCCACTGACTAAAGTAACTTCCAAATTTGGAGTAAGAATGTTCGTAGAATTGCTAACCGCATTTGAAGCAAGAACGGTGTCACTAATTTCTTCTGATGATCCAACAAGCTGAAAAATTTAAAAGATTACTATAAGGATAAACATAATTTGCAATCACATATTTTTGTTATTACAGGGGGACTAAAAGCACAGTAATATTATACATAACTCCTGGGGAATAACCCATGATAAGAATATTATGATATTGTATTCCTAAAAATACAAATCCTGCCCATCTCATGATACAATATTATGTACATATACATTATGAGCATTGATTGACAGTTGAGAGGCGGGACCAAAGAGCCAAAGCTCAACCCCACAAGCACAACTACATGAGTACAACAATTGCGGACGAGCAGTCACAATAACTGGGCTGAAATATGTTGACCAAACCACACAATAGAAAGTGAAGAGACGACGACGTTTCGGTCCGTCCTGGATCATTCTCAAATCGATTCTCACAATCGACTTGAGAATGGTCCAGGACGGAGCAAAACGTCGTCGTCTCTTCACTTTCTAGTGTGTGATTTGGTCAACATACAACAATTGCCTAACTCCCAGGTACCTATTTACTACTAGATGAACAGAGGCAATAGGTGAAAAGAAATGTGGCCAACAATTTCAGTCGTGCCAGACACTCGTACCCAGACCCTCCAAATCTTCTCTGAGGTTGCATCCCATGGAAGGTTCAGCCTTAGGAGGGACCTTGGTTCAACTCTAAAGTATACATACACAGGGGCTTCCTGTCTCCGACAAAACAAATTATTTCCCATCACTCTTGCTCTAATAATTCTTACTCCATCTCACTCATCATTTACATTATCATTCAACATTTTATTACATAAACCAGTACATCAAATTTTCTTTCCTTAAAATGATTACCTCCAGCTTCCTCCTGCACTTCATTTATTTCACACGGTTATAAGAAACTTCCTTTATGTCCGGGGCCTGGGAATTTATGACGCAAGTTTTATCCTTCTTGGGCAGGAATTTGGGAAATGGGTCCACATTCTAATCCCTAGACCACGTTATTAGAGAGAATGCCAAACATACTGCACTCTGCAAGGTGCTGGGAAGTGAAGCCACCATAAACAAATATGAGTAAATTACCTGAACTGGGTCACAAACAATAGACACTGTGCCTGACTCGTCCACTTCATACTGCAACTGAGCCGACTCAATTAGAGATATAAGCTGCTTCACATCTGCCTCCTCCATTCTGAAAATTATTAAGAACATCCTTAAATCAATAGCATGATTCTACAATACTGTAACTACAAGACTAATATTTTCATATACTTTATGCTTCAACACTGGAGTACAATATAAGTCACTATCAACATTAAACAAGAAAACTTTCCTTTAAATAATTTTATTTTAAAATGTCTACTGAATACAGCAATGCTATTAAATGAGATTCGGAAGGAACTACAGTATGATGGAACTGAAATGTGCAGTACTTTAATGTATAATTTCAGCAACAGGCACATGAATTGAATTTGCATTTAATTGCTGAAAAAAATCAGCAGTGGAAGTTTTTTTAATAAGGTACAGTGCAACATTTGCAGTACTGTAAATACCAAAAATTTATTAAAACCTTAAGTGGAATAGAGTAAATAAAACAGAAGTGCCCTGAACTAAGTTCTGAAGTGGGGTGTAATTACCCAAGTGTAGTTACAGGACGAAAGCTACACTCGTATGTCCTCTCTTCCCAGCACTCTTTGTGATACTGTATAACGCTTTGAAACTACTGACAGTTTTGACCTCCACCATCACCTCGCCTAATTTGTTCCAACCGTCAACTATCCTATTTGTAAAAGAAAAAGGAAAGTATCGGTGCCCAGCCTCCTGGGCCATTGGGGATCGAGCGCAGACCTACGTGAAGCAAGGTGTTTGCTGTACTGACCAGTCCAAGTTGTTGGACCAACATGAGATGTAAGAATAGTACAGTGGCTGTGATGTTCTTGACTCTCAATTATGAATCTCTGGTTCGATCCCCAGGTGGGACAGAAAAGGTTGGGCACATTTCTTTTCATCTGATGCCTCTGTTTGCCTAACAATAGTTAACCAGGAAGTTAGACATCTGTTGTGTTGTACCTTATTACCTGATTTACCCGAGGGCCACTAACCCTAGTGGCCTCGACGAGGACAGAAAGCCGGTGGTGGCTTGTTGAAGCCCCCCCCCCCCATTTTCCTTGAAAACATTGTACTGTCACTCCTCAATAACTAATTTGTATAAGCCGTAAATAACCTCAATGTGTTCGTTCCCACAAATAAGTGGGAATTTATTGTGGGACGCCTTTGAGAGCCCCAAGACGCGGCCTGGATTACCCCAGGTGAAATTAGTGGTGATGGTGGTGGTGTGATGGTGGTGGTGTTGTGATGGTGGTGGTGGTGGTGTGATGATGGTGGTTGTGACCAAGGGAATACAATATGCAGCAGTTCCCTGCGAGGAAAGGTCTCCAGAGCTCACCTGGGTGTGGGACACGCGGGGGAAACCTCTCCATAACATCCACAACTCTTAACTTGTGGCGATGTTGTTAGTGTTGTGGGTCGCGTCTCAACCTCCACAATGTTTACATTCCTTCTCTAGTTTTTTGGGCTGCGACTTTCATTAATAAAAAAGTTTTTAAAATTGATTTTAATTTCACCTTTTAATTGTAGATAATATCCGTTTTTAGGTATAGATTTTTTTTAATTTGAGTTCATTCAGATAATGAAACTTTTCCCTTTCCTTGGGCGCCCTCGTCTACAGTGGTGAAGTGATCGTTCACACCACTTCTCGCGGGAAATTTAAATTCAGAGAATTATTTTCAAGATTTGTTATTGTATATATATAGAATCTTTCTTAGCTTGTCTGTTTGTGGCGTATAGGAACACTAAAAAGTGCGAATAGTGCACAATAATTCACCACACCAGTAATTTAAAAAGTATAACAATGCCCATCACAACTAGATGTCTATAATATTTCTTCTAGTGTGAACACTGATGTAAAGCATTCGTTCAGTGCTTCCTGCCCTTTCAACGTCTATTATAACTTGGCTAGTCTCATCTTTTAAGGGTCCTATCGAGTCTTTTGTTTTGGCTTTATCTATCAAATTACAGTTTCAAGTCAGGATTAGAATAAAAAAATAAGGTTTTGTAAGTGTAAATGAGAATGAGAATGTAAAGATAATGTTAACAAATGAGAACAGAAAAAAAATTGAAAACTAAGGCAAAAAACACAGGAAACTAGCAAGGATCAGGGCATGTACCGTATCATGTACGGGAGAAGGTTGGATGGGCCTCACCGCAGTTGATGCAATGAGTTTGGGAAGAAAGACAATTTGTCTTAGAACAGCCGGGGTCACCACACAAAGGGCAAAGGGTATCTTACTACTGCACTTAGAAGAATCTTGTGAGTTTCCAACAGCTATTACAGAGGGGTGAAGAGAGTATGTATTCATGAATAAAGCCTCTGGAACTGGCGAGAATTTTGAAAGATGGAAGGCTCCTACCATCAGAAGTCATCTTAACTACTCAAGAGGTTGATGACAACGGCCACGATGGGGTTGAGTGGACGTGTATATCTGGTGGATAGAATAACCTTGGGCCGCAAGGATATATTTAATATTCTCATGCAATCTTCGAGTTCCAATATAGTGTGGGAGAATGACTGTGTCAATGCTGGCATTAATTGGGCATTTTAGGAAAACTGGAGCAATGCAGGACAAATGAGGTAGGTGGGCGGGTACCTCCTGAGACAGGGCCGCAGCCACATGCTTCAGTCAAGATGGGGTTAAAAGTAACAGCTATCTACAATCAGCTAGGTGCTTATGGATGTGTAAATCATTAGGGCGTGTATATTCTTTGTGACAAACATCAATATATTTAGGCCAAGTAATAGGGCCAACCAAATCTTGGAACATAGCAGGGTTTGAAGGAATCTTGTGTATTTATTTATATGCAAGAAGGTACATTGGGTTAATGAGAATACAGAGTATTCATGTTTTACCTTCTTGTAAAGCCACTAGCATGCATAGCGTTTCGAGCAGGAACGCCAGTATTTGAGTCCAGTGAGTGCCATGATTCTCCATTAAGCAGGGGGCAGTAGTCACAACGAGATTGAGCCACTCCAGGTGACAAGGTTTAACATGTTTGTTAAACATGCAATTTTTAACTTTTTGTTTTTATCCTTAATTCAAATGTACATTTGAGTATCCCTTCAGTTTGGCCAATTTTCTCCGCATCTACTCCAAATACCTACCGGCTGCTATAAAGGATCCTTTGACTATACCAATAATTAACAAGATTCTTTTTCATTTCTGGCAGTATCAGTTATATCAGTTGTCCTACATTCATAGTAATTATTTAAAAAAGGCACCAAGCCAGAAAGTTTGTAAAGATATTCAAAAAAAGTGTTAAATATCACAATATGAGAAAGACACAAGGCAAATGATATTGGTATCCAACTCACCAAGAATGCTAACAAGACAACCCCATAAAGACATTAGGAAAGCACAACACTAACATCCCAAAAATTGGGGCAATCAACAAGGTGCACAACTAAGTGGGACACAACATTTTGGACAAAAGAGAGCCAGACTTTGTTCTATTAAGTGACCATGAGTTAGATGGGTGTGACCGATATGCAACCTGCTAAAGTTGTCTTCCATTACCTATTACAGTGGTGGGAGGCCAAGGAAAAATGCCACATTTAAGAGCACACAATTTATTACCTGGAATGCCACCACCAACGGTTGTAGATGGTAGCATGAATGACCAGAAGGTAACTCATAGCCATATCGGGGCAATACCATGAGGGCAAGGATGGAACGACTCGAGGAGATATTGCAAACACAAACCAAAATTACCCTTTCATTTATGTTTCCCCTCAAAATTATTTGACTTTTTCATATCAATTTTAAACAAACAACATTAATTGGTAGTTAAAGCAAGGCAGCCTTACCTTATACTAGGGTTTGCAAAGCCTTGATATTTACATTTTTATTTTACACTAGTATGTGTGTCTTGCAGATTTAGTGCATGGAAGAATTATTCAACTTTCTAATGGTCACAAGATTTGGAATACGCTTCACCACAATTCTGTAAATGATCATTTTGGTTTAAAATGTACTCTCGCCACAAATTAGTCTGGCATCATGTTTCGTAGGCACTCTGGACTAGAGCATTTTCAAACTTCTAGACATGCCACTAATACATTGGAATATCCTCAATGTTAATTTATAAGTCAGCATTATCACTCCTACCCATCTGTTTCATAAAAAGCAGGCCAGATCAAAAAGTTTAAAAAAAAAAAATAAAAAGGTACCAATCTTGTGGCTGCCCAGCTCAACTCTCGTGTACCAATGGAACAAATGACTCGAGCATATACAGTATTATATATATTGGATCATCAAAATTAACAACACAGGTTAAAAATAAAAATACAATTTATTGAAATCTTTGAGAAGTTATACCAAATAACTTATGAGACCGATTAGCTTTTAGTAATTTAAAAATTTATACAAAAAAGTTTAATACAATATTCTACATACAGTACACTGATAGTAACATGTATACAGTATTTAGAAAATCAAATATTACATTCATATTAAACTAGCTAGTAAAAAAAAAACAAAAAGACCATTTCTAAACCTAGTGGGCCAAATGGTAAAGTGCAAAATGAATGGCTGGACTCAATCCCTCCAGCATACTACCATTCACAAACAAAGGCTTTGGTCAATTCTCCCATTGCATACAATTTCTAGTTAATATAAAATACCATTCACTGCATATGCATTTAAATATTCACCAGAATGCAGGAAGGTGTAACTAGAAAACTGACGCTAACAAATGAAAAATGTTTTACATAACTTACCAATTAACCTCACACTGGAGAGATGATTAAATAAGCCATTTATATTAATTAATATTCTAAGTTACAATAGATTCCACAACACCATGATACAAGTGTACTGACAAATTTTCTACCAGAAAGTATCAGATAATCATAATTTATATATATATATATCTGTACATATGATTTAAATGTTGAAATATGAGATATTTATAAAAAAAAATAAAAAACACAAGACCTTACATTACTTCTTAATATTTATGAAAATACTTATATTAAGAGGCCATCTGTTTTAAGCTTGACCCGACATTTGTTTTATTTCTGAAATTAGACGACGATTGTATTCTTTTGGATCCAACGGTGTGCACGCAACTACTGTACACTTCAAACGGCTCTCGTCCTGAAAAAATTTGTATGAAAAAACAATGTAAGTGGAGGTGACAAATGAATATTCTACACTACATGATCTACATTATTTTAATAATATTTAACCCCTCAATATAAATCATTAACATCCTGCGTAACAAACAAGATTTTAGAAACTATTTGAAGCCAAAGTTAAATTTTAATTTAAAATTGTATACTATATCTTGCCAGTTGTAAGTCTGAAATGGAGTCAAATATCAAACTGTTTTCCTCAATTGTGCATAAAGCACAATATGGTACAAATTTAATTCTTCAGCAAGTTTATTCAAAAACTTTTGCTGTTTAAAAATTCCCAATTTAGTTACAATGATTTATTATATATTTTATATACATACACTGAAAATATATACATGTATAATATAGATACACATACATACATAAATAAAAACATATATACACATATACTGTATACATATATTGTCTGATGTCTGATTTTGTGAATATTTGGTTCTTCTATCACACTTTTTTCATAATTTATGCTCTTTGGTGCACAGTGGTACCTCAGTTTTCGTATTTAATCCGTTCCCAGAGAAAGTACGAAAACTGCAATGAATTTCCCCATAAATAATTTAAATTGAATTAATCCATTCCACACCCCATATAGTTCATTCAAGCAAATTCACATTTGTATACATGGTTAAAATTCAAGTAAAAATCTAAATATAAGAAGGTTCAATTAATCAGATAAATCTAGTCTGCTATTAACCAAAACATTTTTGCACTCATAGGTGGGAGGAACATCTAAACAATTTAAATGGTGCAGTAGAGCAAGTGAAGGATTTAAAAGGGAAGAGTAAAAATGGAAATATTTGAAAAACCCATGACGGCACATCTAAATTGCGTTTAATTTTTTAATTAAAAATCTGTCCAAATTTAACCAAATTTTAATTTAACCACAAATTTAACCTGTCCAACTTACATTGTATGTTTCCATCTTGACACGGAACTTAAAATTATAACTCTGGAATGCAGCTGCAGTGAAGACATTCTGGTAACCTTCAGGATTATTTTCTCTCATGGAACCCAGTTCTTGGGCTGTAACTCCAAGCAGAGTTTCAGCCTGATCTTGGAACACTGTTACCCACTGATTGTCTGTGAAGTCTGCAACGTTGGCCTATTGCAAGAGAAAATGTTTAATGAATATCTACTGTTATTGATATTTGTCATGTGAATCAATGACAATGTGATTATTGACATGTGATTGACCCACAAAATTAACTCAATTTAACAATTGCAGGACAATATGCATTAAAAAAGGAATAGAAAAATGATAAAGGGGCCAATTAATGGAATTAAAGTCCTTAAAATATTAGTTTATAGATGGTCTGATAACTCATAAATCTAGAAGATGAACTCACTTGAAGCAAAAGTCGCCAGGAGAATGTATCAAACTCTCTGTTGCACTTCTCACACCTGTACATGCCATTGTTCATGTCAATAACCTTCTTATTGCATGACTCGGTGGGGCAAGCAGTATAGAGGGAATTTTCCTTTTTCATTAAAACAATAGTTGCTTTATTTGTGTAATAGTCAGCAACATCAGCAGCACTTCCCAAATTTTCAAGCTTGGCTTCAGAAAATACTTTGAAGTTGGTACCCATACCTGAAAATTATTTTATTAATATGATTACTGACAATGAAAATCTTAAACAATGATGCATTGCGTATCAAATAACCCGAAATAGTTCACACCAACAAATTTTCATCAACTCTTTGAATTGCCTCGTGTTAACCTTTATACTGTTAGTTAACCTATGGCAGCTTCCACTTTATGTATGAGAGGATATAAATAGAGCTGCACCACAAGTCAATATGCCTTCACACTGACCGAGAAATTTGTATATATATGTAATGTCTTAATTTTTTTAAATATCTTAAAACTAATATGCTTTTGGTTTAAATTTACACTGAAAAATGTGCAATTTAGCAATAGCAAAAGAACAGCAAGTACAGTAATATATTTACCTCCTGTACTTCTTTGGTTGGAAAGATTAATTGTCTCAGAATTATTTCCACCATTGTCAAACCATCCCCTCAACTTGTGAGCTTCCCGAATGTCAGGGTTAATCTGTAAAATAAGTTTTTGTTTTAACATTTCAATAATGGAAAGAAATAAAGTTTTCCCCGGTGTACATACCAATATTTTATATTCCAAATTAGGCTCTTATATTGTGAATTCTTAAAGCTGACATAAAAATATCAAAAGGGTCAATGTTTCCATATTAAAAATGCAACAAAGTCAGACAGACGAGTTCAGCCAATTCTGCATTAAAGTGTAATCCAAGCATCTCGTCAGCTGATCATGGACATACGGTGTGCGAGTGCCATGTTCAATATTATTAGTAAAAAAAAAAAAAATTCCTTGAACAAGAAGGCATGGTGAATCAAAGGCTTATAACAGGGATAAAACTTAATGAGGCCAAAGAAACAAATGAAGACTTGTTAAAAACTGATAAAAGTGCTAGGTAGGTGGTTTTTTACAACGTACAACAATCTAGAAAACTAGATTGTTTTCTAAAAGTGCTGGACCAACCGGGCTGTGATGGGTATGTGGGCAGCTCCAAGCAACAGCCTGGTGGACCAAGCTCTCACAAGTCAAGCCTGCCCCCGATTAGTCTTAAGGACATGAGTTTCATTCTTTTGAACTCCCTTAATTCTGAACCATCATAAATGAATACAAGGTCCTGTGGCTCGTAGCCTTCTTGAGGTTATCTTGAGATGATTTCGGGGCTTTAGTGTCCCCGCGGCCCGGTCCTCGACCAGGCCTCCACCCCCAGGAAGCAGCCCGTGACAGCTGACTAACTCCCAGGTACCTATTTACTGCTAGGTAACAGGGGCATTCAGGGTGAAAGAAACTTTGCCCATTTGTTTCTGCCTCGTGCGGGAATCGAACCCGCGCCACAGAATTACGAGTCCTGCGCGCTATCCACCAGGCTACGAGGCCACCCTATGGCCACCCTACGAGGCCACCCGCCTCTTCAATGATGGAGAGAGAGGATGATTATTGTGAACAGTTTTTAACTTCCCATGACATGAAGAAAGTTGGTGGTCCTCAGGACTATTTACCTGAAATGAAGATGACGATAACAGTGACAGAGAACGTCCATTGAAATCCGACAATCTGGCTCCCTTCACAGCTAGAATAGGTTGCTGGGAACCATCAAAGCTTTCTGCTGTAGTTCCCCACAACGTCAAACGTACCTGTGTAACAAACTTTTCTATCAAAGGAGGTTATACAATATTTTGCAACATTCAAGTTTCAAATGAAACAGCTTCTTGCCAACAATTTATATTAAAGTTATATATAAACTTATAGTTGTAAGTTATATTATACAGACAAAGTGCCGGACCAGCTATAGGAATGAATGAAACAACAAGTATGAGATCAATCAGTGATTATTAATTCATAATCGTAATGCATGTTATGATTATGAATCTAATAACTAAATTATCGGTATAAAAGTTGTTTGCTACAATCAGTTGTGCATGAGGCAGCCATATTGAAAATGACTCCTAATCTGTTCGACAAGAATGAGGCTACGAGGTTTCAGCCGTTTTAAGAAGTCCGCTTAGCAGCCAAGTATCAGTTTTAATTAACTTAAATTTACCGTACTATCTGAATTAAACACCTTAATGTATTGAACAACTCAGATTAACAAATTCATCATTTAAACTTAATAAATTAAATAAATTTTCAAAACTACTGTTCAATCTGAAATTTAGTAACAAACCTCCCACTATGGGGATTGTGTGACAAATAATTAAGCAGTCAACTCTGCTTTAAAATAAAATAAAATAATTAACTATCCCCATAATCCTACAGAGGCTAAAGGTACCTAAAACTAATAATTTCATAGCTATCCTTGTGGTAAATATATGCATTTAACATTTAAGAGATGAACTATTACAAAAGTAAAACATACTTCTCTATTTGTGTCATCTACAAGCTGTATGTCCCTCTTCTTTAGTTCACGGCCGGTTGTTCTCTGCTGGATAGTGCTTAATTCCATTGTTTCCTTGCACACTCCAATAACATCTGAGAATAATAAGACATTTATGTTTATGATTCTTACATGATTAAGTGGACATTCTTAACTAATAAAGACTAAGTACAGTACAAGTACTAAAACATTAATAAAAATGGCTGCATTTGTAAAATAAGTTTTGCAAATTCTTTTAGAAAACGATTACAGTGACAATAAAAAACTAGTATATTTTTTGTACAATTAGACGACAACTTATGTCTCGTGATTTATTTCAGTACAGGAATTTGAGGCAATTGACTTTTGCTTATAAATCCCTACTAGCAGGATTTGACATCTTTAAGGCTATTATCCAATCAAATAAACATTATACATATATACAAAATTAACAAGAATATATTATTCAAAATACTAAGAGCCAAGTAATCAGAAGAATTAGTGTTCATCCTTTTTTAGTAAAGAGCGGTCACGTGTAAGGTAAACGATGGGTATGCACGAGTAAAGAGTGGACGTGACCAGTCTGTGCTACAAAAACTGCAATTTTATTTTTTTAGATTATTACAAGAAATTCAGCCAAGCTGAATGTTTGGCTAACACAAATAGGAATGGACCTTACATATTTTAGAAAAATCCTTTATTTACAGTATCCAAGGGTCAATTTTTATAACCACAAAGATGTCATCTTATGTCAGTTTTTTGACAAGATGACATGATCACAGAAGTCTTACCGGAGAAGTCCAAAAGTGAACATATTCAAAACTTTTTGAACAACAACTACAGTACATGTGCTTGGTAAGGTCTATTTTGACTGACAACTGCTAAAGGTTCAACGGTTGAAGGCTCTTGGCTTTCTGGTGAGGCTTCAGTGGTTAAAGGCATTGGCTTTCTGTTTTTACCAAACAAGAATTAAGTTTTGCTTGCCTCCTGTGTTCATTGCCCTCTTCCTCTCTGAGAGGGCGATTGTTGCTGCTACCAGATAGTCTTGGTAAATTAAATCATTTTTTGCCATGAAAACAACAACGTTATTGAAGAAAATGTTTCACTTATGGCATGGCACTGTGGTATAATGCAAGGCAAAGAGCACATGGCCTGTTTAGCTTGACCAGGCCTGGATGGGTCCACTTTAGACAGGCAGTAAAAATCCCCAAATTTTAGCAGGAAACTACAGTCTTCAGCCTGTACACAGTTTTTAGTTAATTTGTATTTGTTACAGTTAGATATTTCTTTAGAGATTTTATTATAATGAATCTTTTTACTATAATTCTTGGTTATTCTGTACAATAATCATAGGCCCCTCCACATGCCCCTCATCCCCCAGAAAAATTTGACAAAAATATTAAGACTTATTTCTGGATATCCAGTTCAGTGTGTTTGGATAACCGAGCTTGTACAGTACTGAAGAAATGGAAAATAGTACTAGTCAAAAACTATATAACTATAACCAATCACAACAAGGGTTGTGACAAATTCATAGAGAATAGTGAATGAAGACATGTGAATAAGGTAGCGAGCTTATACTAAAGCTTCATCTTTGAGCTCACTTGTTTTAAAAGCATAAAAGGGATAAGGCCAAGAAATAATAAATAAAAGAAACAAGATGCTGAATTTTGAGAAAATTTCTTGATCAAGGAACGGAATTATCAATCTCTATATATATAAAAATATCATTTGAATTAAGCCGATTGGTAGCTGATATGCAATTCAAGGTATTTGTGGACATATGCAACTATGATGAAACTCTTAAAGGTGACTAAAAAAAATTAGCACTGCTTACCCAAAATATTATCTTTTTCTAAACTCTCAAGCTGATCCAAAGGAACAAAGTTGAACTGCATAGCTGGGATTGCCGTTACTTCATGACAGGGTGTTATCTGAAAAATAAATCTCAAAATAAGGCGCACAATTTTAAATCAGGCCTGTAAAATACAAGGCTGTCACTCACAACCAGGCTTTTTTTAATGTCCTTTTCTGCGAGATATCATGGCAACATGCAAATCTTTGGGTTACTTGAACTCAACAAAAACTCTTCAAAAGAAACATTTACTGAAGAATTTTACATCTTAGACAGTGAATGTAGTACGAATGATTGAGATGTGTATGACAAGGAAGAAACAGACAATGGAAGGATAGTGTGAGAGAAGACAGGATGAATGTGCTCAGATGCGGACATGTAACCTTTTCTTTATAATCCAACCAAGCTCTGAACACGTACAAGAACACTTTACCTCAGTCATCTTATTGAAAGACATTTCATAATCATTGTTGAGGTTTGAGTACTGTTTGTTAGCAGATTTGAGGGTGGCACTTGTAATGAAGTAAACTTTATTTATCTGCAATGAAAAAGGAATCCCGATTAAAAAAACATTAAAGTTTCATAAAATAAATTTTTTACAACACAAATTTAAAGGTATAATTTGAACGAGTGAATAGAACAAACATACATCCATACATATATATATGGGGGTTGGTTGCCTCTCACTACAACTCTGATTCCTAATAGTTACTCATTATCTTCCTAGTTTCCCTATGCTTTTCCAACTAGCTGATCAGCCTTTTGTGGGGAATATTGAAACTATCAAACTTTAAATACAATACCTTCAAAGATTGAATTCAACATTAGAAAACAAAATACTTTTAAAATACAATTTATACAACTACAATACTGGGAATATTTTCTTTAACATCAAGGCATGTATGTAGGGAGATTTATTGTAGTAATGGCAATTAACTTTCTAGAAATGGCTCAAGGACTTAACCTCACTTATTTATTGTCATGTTCAATGGTTCTGAAATCTGCCTCCTGTGATTGAATGACCACTGGTACCTTCACTGCTCTACCAAGCATAAGTACTGAAATTGTCATGTATAAGCTCAGACACTTACCAGCTATCACAAGGATAAAAAACTAATTCAAGTGAAAACAGTAAGTAGCCATGGCATGGATAACTTATGTCTAACTACTCTATGTTATCATTCTCTTAGTCTTTGTCTATATGCTCTTTACAAGTCATTACCTTACCTCGATCAAATCAAAGAATTTGTCCACTTGTTCATTAAAAGCTGTTGCACGAATTTCTCCAGATTCATCGAGAAGATCCATTGAGAAAAGTTTACCTTCACCCCTTGAGTTGGACCATGTTCGAATGGCTGACTTGTTACTAACTCGAGCACATATGGTCCACCTTGGTAACAAATTAGTGTGTTAATTTCACTTCTTTATAGGTTAAATGAAAGAAATTGGCTAGTAGTACAATATTATGGCACGAGATTTGTATTATGAATTCTGACCAAATCTAATGATGCTATTGTACTTTTTTATACACGATGTTAGTAACCTTCAAAGTCCAGCTTTAGGCAATTAAATGTAACCAATTACTGTATGTCCAAAACACTTGTGCTTCGGAGCACAAATTTACTGCTCTGATAAGTAGGTTAATATGCAAGACATCATCTGTAAATATTAACGCTTAAACTGCTGTTATCATCACACGTTTCATGGGGGGTAATTCTGTTATCATACTTTAATTTAAACTACTACTGTCTGGGTTTTACACAAATGAGGCTTGTATGGATACATGTCAATATTGATGTAGTTAAGTTTATGCCATTATTTTTTCACTATGATGTAGTGAAAATCCTACCATCATTTCATGATTGCATTTGTTATCCATCCTCTGGTGACATTCTATGAATCTCATCCTCTGGTGAATGAATAACTTTGAACAACACGGGAAACATCTCCCGTCACGCAGGGTGCAGTCGCACCTCCACAGCTCTCCCGTATCATCTATTGATACTGGTAATGGCTCAAATGGGCCACCACTTACGGGCTATTCATGCCCGTGCCACCTTTTGGGTGGCTTAATCTTCATCATCAATCAATCAATTTGAACGACATTCATTCTATGAATGAACACCTGTGAAAGTTCTGGCAACATAACATATGACTGAAAGTTCTGGTGACAATCTATGAATGTCACCAGAGTAACACAACCCTTAGATCTCTTTCTTTGCTAGTTTTTTTAATTCCTTTACACATAATTAGTAGGTTGTATGTGGTCTATTTTCTCCAATTCCACATTCCATAACTTGGCATTTATACACATTGGCATGTGGCAAATGTTATGTAGTGCACTGAATGAATTGAAGCACTGTGGTGCTCCAAGCATTTATTTTATCTAGAACAATTTAAAGGGCATGACAGTCTCCAATCTTCCCTAGAAGCTTATCATCATCAGCAAACATGTTCATATAAATCAATATTCCTTCTGGTATACCTATCTTCTAGCAGAAGGAGATAGCACCACTAGACGGTGCTATCTCGACTGTTTATTACGTGTGTGTCAGGGACAACATCAGTATCTAGATTCCAGCTCCAGACAAAAATAAACAAAAATGTAGTTACACAAAAATAGATTAATTGAAAAAAAGTATGACCAATTAACTATTGTATTTTAAGCATATACTTTTTGTAAGGCTTACTTATTTTGGTATGGAGTAAGAGAAGCAATTGGATGAACATTTCCACCAGATGGAGTTTTTGCAGGGGACACCCCTAGGTTTGGTGTGTTGCGCTGTCCTAGGGGATTACGTGGTGAAGGGGCACCTGTAAATGTGTCCACATCAGGTTAAATTATAAAAGGTTGTAAAAGTGAGTGTTTCAAGATAGCAAAAGAAAAAATCTGGTGAATACAACTATAACCAGAAAAAAATAAATTAAGAATTTTTTTTATTGCAGGATATTGGTTCCAATGAAAGACATTCCATAGTACAAAACACAGGAGTGATGGGGTGGTGAGAGCACTTAAGATATGTATCACCATGATCAACTATCAGGGACCTAGGGAGTGAGACCAAACTCTTTATGACATGTCACTTACCCTTTATCACCATACACACATTTTAAAGCGCTTGACGTTTAAGTTCCGTTTTGTACTTTTTCTTAATTAAACCAACCAACCACTTCACCACAAGCTTTCCTCTTTCTTCACCTCCATTGCTTTACCTTTGACATGCTTCTTTAAATAATCTACTTAAAAAATTTAATATTAAAGCACATAATGCAAGAGATTGGTGAACCAAATTTTATTTTACAAAAATATTAACACATACTAGTGGCTGCCATGGAAGGCATTGGTCGAGAAGGCTGCTGCGGCTGCTGTTGAGCTCTGCTTTTGTTAGGATCATAACTCACTGGTTCTCCCAGTTTGATGCCCACGTCTTCACCAGATTGTTGCACCGTTAAATCAAGAATGATCAGCACCTACAAAATAAATATAATTGTTTATTATGACAAACTATTTCTTTAAGGTTTCCATATGTTAACTAGTGAACCTGCAAGAATTTGTCTAGTTTGAAAATTCAGGAGTGATTTTGTTAAACTAAGAATTTATTTTAATATAGACAAGCCTTTTATATAAATTTATTTTAACAAGACATTTACAAGATAACTGCTTAATTTACAAAAAAAAAATATTCCCAGTACATAGTATGAAATCTAAAGCTATAACTACAGTACTGCAATACTGTGCCTTTACAATATTTACAATAATTAATTTTTAAAACTACTAACATCTGTTTCTAAAAATACATGTGCGTGCTTTATCTGAATTATAATAGATATTTTGTTGTTGACATTAGGGCAATCAAGAAAGGAATCTATAGTTCCCTATGCCAACAGATTTCCTAACATTATATATTCTTAAAAACAGATCTTCACCCTTTCATGGTACACACACAAAATATCCTTACATCACTACAACTGCCCAACCTACACTCTGTACGGAGCACAAACTGGTAAGAAAAGCCACTATATAACTGCTTATAGGCTAACCTTTCTTAAAATGCACTAATGCCTACACTGTACAACAAAAATCTTCCTTAAACATATAATTTTAACTTGATAATTGTTTCATATAACATAATACATATTAACCTAATACTGACCGACCACAGTTTGTGTGACAGTGGGGTTGGAGAACTACTGAACCATTAGCCAGAGTGCATGGGGGCAATGCTTAAAACCCTGATTGGGCATCATTTGCAAGCCTCGGGAATCCTAAAGGGTTCAGTGCAATTCCAGGTTGCATTGCTTTTGACCATGTCGTAGCATGGTGGTCTAGGGAAGCTTGGAAGTCCCAAGTGAGCGGGTTCGAATCATCCTCATGGAACCTACTGATTTTCTCATTGATACATCACATTAATGTGAATTCATTGTGTATACAAATAATAAACTCATCAACTAAATTGGTTTCTAGGGCACACTTCAGATGAGCTGGTGTAGGATACTGCTCTTACTTGCAAGTTCACTAGGTACATAAATGACATTCCTAATGAGCCCAAGCCTTTGTTAAGAGACAACACACATCATCCACAGTTTACATATTTTCCTTTTTCTCACCTTCTTGTTATCCTGAACAGTATTACAAACATAACGGTTCATCTGTATTATGCAGTTATTGGAAATCTCTCCAGTGGCAACCTTGCTGTTGAGCTGTGTGGCTAGCATAGCAAAGCTGCTTGACCACTGGCCATCCGACACCAGCAGGCGGTAACGCTCTTGAGCACCACTAGGAATGCGCTTCATGGTCTGTGGGAATTTGCATCAATTACATAAGAGGAAGAAATATAAGCTAATAGAATATGTTGTGCATTAAACAGAAGTAAATTAAAAACATAGTCCAGAATTCCATTAAATAAAATACATATTAAATGTGCTTTTCTCACTGATGAAAGCTGCAGGTCATTTATTATTTTTCCAAGACAGTATGTATGATTACAGTATATGGTACTATACAGAAAAAAACCTATTTCAGAAGTTTGCCTTAAATAGACGAGAAAATTTTTGTTCATGGTTTTAGGTCATACCACTGGCAGTTTGAGTCATTATAGCCTACAGTCAACAGCAGGTGGTCTAGCACTAGATTACAGACAAAATGATTATCATAATTTAATTAAAATCCCTAAAATCACAATGCTAAATATTACATACTCAGCAATTGATCAAATGAGGGCAAAAGCTGATGAGTAAGTTGGTGTATGCAAGAAGAGGGAGGAGGAGAGACAAGGGTGGAGAGAGGAGAAAGTGGGAGTGAATAAGGGAATAAGGGAGGGGAAAGAAAAAGAGAAGGGGAGAGGGAGAGGAAGAAAGGGAATACATACAGTATAGGAGAGAGAGGAGTGGGACATTTATACGAGCATCAATACATATTTGAAAATTTTGTGGAATATTCCTGGGTGTAATTTCAAATAACACTGCAAGTACATTTTTTTTGTCTTTTGGTTCAGGTGGTGACCTTACCTTAATGTCTGACAATGAGATGTGACATTAATATCCTGGAACTGGAAAATATTATCCAGCAAGTTGATAATATTTTCTTGTAAAATACATGTCACTGTTTAGATACAATATATGGATACTAAACTGCCTATTTTTGCAGACAACTGATTATACCTTAAATAAATTTAACATTTCTATAAAAATACTGCAGCATTGCAACAAATTTATTATAACATCACCATGTATTTTGATTTTAAAATATTGTTAGGGGTGGAACTTCCTCCAGCATTTAAATGTTAAAGAAATAAGAGTAAACAAAGATGAAACAGTTTATAATATATACAGTAAACTTACCAAAATCTGAAGAACTGGGTTCTCTGGATGAGCCCCCTCAATTATGTCCTGCAAAGAATAATTCAAACAATCATTTCTGCACTAATCACAATGCCTATGTAAAGCAAGTAATTCCTGTTAATGCAAATTATCTTTATTATATTGTGAAGCAATAAAAAATATAAATAAAAATTCGGTACAGTACCTTAAAAATTCTGAAAACTTAAGTCAATAATTCAAAGTTCCAAAAGGAGATCCAAACTTTCCAATGCCCTAATGGAAAACCTTGTGATTATATAGATATTATACATTATTTAAAGGACCTTGCATATGGACACGATTGCATTAATAGACATTCTCCATTGTGGGATTTATTTCTTTATAGCAAGACTTGGCATTCACATGTAAGTGACTCCTACATTTTCCACTTTCACAATGCTTTGCTCTTTTGCATAATGTAGCATTTTTCTACCCCCATCCTTCCAACAGGAGTCAGAATGACCACATTTGAGATATGTAGTGTCAGCATGAATGTGGTCAGAATGACCACATTTGAGGACCTGAAAAGTCCATGGGTGATAGAACTGCAAATACACTGCAACATAAAAAATAAGGACCTCTTTATAACAATTTTTGTTAAATATCAGATCACCCCCCCCCCTACCAAAAGAGAATGTTGACTGTAGGAATTAAGCACTCTACAGGAACTATGTATAGACTTATGTTTAGCAAATGATAAGAATTTGGCAAGATACTCCTGTGTTCAACCCTTCAATAAAAAATATAATTCTTAGATATAAAAATAATCTGTTTAGTATTGCAGCATCCAAAAAATTTACCAGGATGTAACCAGAGGCCATCCCATCCCACAAACACAAAGACGTTAGGATGTGATAGGTAAGGTAATTACAAGGAGAAAGCATTAAGCCAATAAGACTGTATACAGTATCTCCTGGGAAGGGAACAAAGACAAGAAGTTGGAATTTGAGGATGGAGTGAAGGAATGGTGCTCAACTACTTGGACCATATTGAGGAAGGAATGCAGACCCAACAAGAGTCGCTGTACTGAGCAGTCAGTGTCAGAGGGATGGTCAATACCACTGTCCAGGTTTGCTTAGAGAGCAGTTGTCATAAAACTTTTTTATTCATTTATTTATACAAGAGTTCTTACATTCTTGTAAAGCCATTAGCAAGCACAGTGTTTCGAGCAACACACAACGTTCACCCATTCACTGCTGGATGAACATAGGCTACAGTTCAGGATTGGCACCCAGTCAATCCTCCCTGGCCAGGATACGAACTCAGACCAAAGCTCTCGCGAAGCTCCGGGCGAGTCTTTTACCACAGCGCCACAGGGACTGCAAAAAAAAAATACTAATCTCAAGCGTCCCCTATGAACTAAAACAGTGACAAAGTATTAGGATCCCGGTCTCGATAGATGAATAACGAAAACAATGAACTAATGCCGTATTTCCATGCTCGTAATAGCAAAAATTAAGAGGCTTTGTACATCTTAAAACACGTGAGAAAAAGTACACATTTGTTCTTTAGATGGTGCAATCATGCCTCGTCATACAAGACATAAATATTGTCAATGTGGCCAGCGGTCGGGGCTTACAAGACAGGAGACAACACTATGGACCGTAAATAACAATAACTCAAGAGTTCACCTCCGCCACACACCAGCAGCCAGTTTAATCATCAACACAACCCATCACCCACACCTTCATGACACGCATGCAACAAACACGAGCAACTCACGGCGATCACTCCTGTGCTTAAGCCAGTCATGGTTACGGGCAGTGTGGCGTGTGGAGGGAGAGAGAGAGAGGAGGGCTGGAGGTGCAGTACAGGGAAGCCTCACCAGACCTCACCACTCTCAAAACACCTTTTGGCGGGAGCTGGTCGGGGAGGGCAGAGCGTAGGCTGGCTGCGTCTTACTCTCAGCTGCTGCACACTTCACCACATATTCACCCATATCTTCACCCTAACTTTTGTCTCTATATACATTATATCATTATCATTATTTTATTAACGTCTCTGTAACAATTACTATTAAAATATAACGTGGGTAAATCAAAGATGTGAGAAGATTTAAATTGAACTTAATATTTAGACACATTTTACTCCCCCCCAACCCTCTCCCACGTCAAAAAAATATTAATATATTTACTCTTACTTAATAATAATAATAATAATATTTTATTTAGGAAAAGTACATACATAGATGCAGTTACAAACATTCTGATTGATTTATAGATAGAGCTAGTACATACAATACCTAAAGCTAATAGTACGCATAGCGTTTCAGGCAAGGATTTATTTACTCATCTCACATTCTTCATAAGTTAGGGATAAAATATAAATGCAGTTTTCTTACAAATAATGGTCATAATAATATAAAACAAATATGGATACAATTATATTTTGTGAAGCATTAACTACCTTGTATTTCAGATTTTAAATATTGTGCTGCCTATAATTTGGATGAAAAGAACTGAAAGCATTGCAAATTATGGCTTATTTACATCTGATCTACATATGAAACTTCCAATGACAATATATGATGCAATATACTAAACATATATTTCATTGGCTAATTTGCATACATTCTATATCAGAGTAGGTAACTGCAGAAGACCTATTGGCCCATACGAGGCAGCTCCTATTTACATCTACCCAAACTCCTTCGTATATATGTCTAACTTACTTTGCAGAGCTCTATATGTACCTTATATACGTTGGGAAAGTATAATAATAATTAGTATGTGGCAAAGGCTCCTGCAGTGCATCGGGAACAGGATTAAACATGTACATGTCTACATGCATGTGAAATCATGTCCTCTGTAGGTATATAATATACAAACTTCCAGTCAATAGCTGCTAGCCTACCCTAATTTGCACTTGACAGTATGTTATATATCTATAGGGCTCCATTTTCAACATATTTATTTCTTTTTTACTTTGTTTAATATGGATCCTAGCTGCGATATCCATCTTATGGAACCGCTTACCCGCCGAAGGCATAAATGCCAAAACCCTGCTACAATTAAAGATAAAATCATCAGGATAAATGGTGGAGATCTTTGACAAGCTGCCGGCTTCCTATCCCCGTCGAGACCACTAGAGAGATAGTGGCCCCCTCAGGCAAATTCAGGAAAAATGTTGGTGGTTTGGGAGGGGGGGGATCAATCCCTGTGAGGATGGCTTATAACCCATTATCCTGCGGATTCAATCCACAACCGGGATGGAACTGAACCTAATAAATTCTCTTTAAACTAATTAAATTTTATATATATGCTGAAGTAATTACATACCATTGTTATTTGGCCATCACATATCTAAGATCAATATGTTAAAATATTGGAAAAATAGGAGGATTAAAATGTGAAGAAGGCTGAAGCCAGAGCCAGAGGTAGGAACACGGACAGTGTGGTCCTGCTCATGTAAACATGGCTGAGTTTGGGGCCCATATTACCATCACAGCAAGGAACCGTCCCTCAATATTCGATGTCGTGGCCCAAGATGGTCTTATGTCCACCCTACAGCCAGCTGTGAAACATGTTCTGAAGGTGACTTTGTCAACTGAGGCTAAAATATACTAGTGTTAATAGTGCAGGTTTCTCGGAGGATATTAAAGTTTTAAGTTTCCAGGGAGGAATTATGATGATTGTGTTCTCGTCTCTTCCCAGGCATTGCCTATGGTCTTGACTCGTGTATGACACAACATTTGTAAACATTGTTGATTGTTTAATACTTAGTGTCAATGTATTTGTGTGTGTACTCTGCTCTTGGAGGAGTATTGCCTACTCCCACTACCAGCCATTTCAACAAAACTCATTTTCCAATGCTCTAAAATAAATAAAATATATATATTTATTGTTAGATTTAGCTGTGTTGGCTAAGATTGGGTGAGGCTACTAAGATTTTAAAAATACATTAGAAAATTGTCATGGCAATGAAGGGCTGTGTATCCATTGTATGCAGTTTTATATAGCGCATATCCTAAACAATGGGTTCTTACACATTATTTACACACTTGAATATTTCTTCACTGTGTTACGATATTAAATTAAATCATTAAGTATTTAATAAAACCCTGCATCACATTCAGAAATAAAAGCATTGAATAAAAGGGAATGAATGATGTTTTAAAATATTAGGTTAATGTTTTGTGCTTTCCAGGTGATAGCAGAAAGCAATCCTGAGAAATATGGATGGTGTCTGAAGTATAGCAGTGAATTATTTGTAGCATTTAATCTTGTTATACAACATCACTACTTATCTAATTATGGTATGTAAATGTAAAATTGTATATTGTATTTATTTTCCTCTCCTTAATCTGTTGATTATTTTTCTTTTGATAAATAGCTATCTCCATTTATATATGCTTATTAATTTTCATGCACACAGATTTATTAGCTTTAAGGCCTCACAAAGTAGTCCTGCCTTTATTTTAATCTGAAGATTTTGTCACTGGAGCATTTCGTTTCCATGTACTGTACTCTAGAGTGCCTCAAACATGTCAGTTTCAGTGAGGAACCAAGTCCAGTATAAAATGCAAAGCTGTGTTTCCAAAAACTCACTGGAAAAAGAAAAACCATTCCCAAACTAACCTTTAAAAGAAGATTTGTCCCTTGAGGATCAGGTAAAATTTTTAGAAATGACCCTGGACCCCTCACCTACACTGACTAAAACACAAAGTCATAAGCCACTGAATGTACTATATACACTGGGTGTCTTTTCCCCAGCACAATGAATTATGTATTTATGTAATGATGATGATAATAGTACTAATGTTGTACTTTATTCAGACATTGAACTTCATATGTTCAGAACATTTTTGAGTGTTGCATTCTTTTAGTGATGTCACTATTAAACATTTTTGCATACTGGCATTAACTACAGATACCATGTAGATATAAGAACTCCATTCTATTGATTTTTTTTATAAATAAGACAAATACTTTTTGGCATTGTTCCATTATTATTAAATACTGTAGTGGATTGTAGCATTAAGCAGTCCATCCACTATGTAAGTGTCTGTCTGTGAGTTGGTCTATTCGAATGTGACCAGTGATATCTCGTGGTAACATTCTGGAGTAACACCAGAGGGATCAGCTGTACTATTTCAGCACTATATATGGCCCTGAGATATGATGTAGTCCCTATGGCACATGTGCCATATATTGCCTGAGGGACTGTGGGTCACACGTCTTAAGGCTTTAATGGAACATACCCTATTGGTGGCAGAATAATGTACTGTACTACTCAGAAAGGTATTTTGCACTAGCTCAAAGCTTGTCTTTTCTCATTATATCCTGAAATTCTCAAGGCTTCTTTGTTAATGTTTCAGGAGCATCATTTGCTGAAAATTTTTATGATCTGAAGAGAGTCCCTCTGAAGACAGAAAGGCACCTAAAACCACTAACTCTGTCAAATACTGCATACTTGAAGTCACTATCAACAATTGTAGCTTTTCCATATTTTTGGAGTCAAATGGACAGCATTTATCAAGATGTGCAAGATAAGGATGCTGATGGTAGACTTTCAGATAAGGTAATATCAAGAGAAGTACATAGTGAGTTTGACAAAATATTAAAATACAGTATGTATTTTATATTTATTACTCCATTATTCTAACTCTAATTGATTTTATTTTTCTGTGTAGCCAAAAACATAACTTGACATTATTGTCCTGTTTCAGGGATGGATAAATGACTTGCAGAAGCTGTTGCTGAAACTGTGGCCTTTTGTGCATTTCTCATGGGAGCTCCTAACACTTACATTTTATATCAGGTAAACTTACTTGTTACCTTTAACTAAATTATGAAAATATAGGTTAAGATATAAATTTTTTTATTTAATAACAAGAAGGTTGATTCAAGAAAAATCAATACACAGTATGTATAATTCATACTGTACTGTATATGTATTTACTATTTACTATTTGTGCCTGCAGGATCGAGCTATTAGCTCTTGATGCATGTTCATCTTCATTTCTATGGTGATCAGGTGGCTGGTTGATGTTCCACCTATGGTCCTTCCCACGGCAACAGTATGAAGTCTGGTGGTGTGTATTCTGCCATTTCCTCTCCTGTTGTCATTGCTCTTCAGTTTCAGTTTTGGTTTTCTTGTCTTTTATTTCTTGGCTTTTTCTGGATTGGCATCTTATGCTGAATACCGTCACCTTGTATGAGGAGGCACTGGCAGAGTTGCTCCAGCTTGTGTTTGGGGTTGATGCTTCCTCGGGCCTGTTTCATAAGCTTCCTTGGGTGCTGTTTCACCTCCTGCCTCCTCATGTTCCATCTAAGCCTCCTTAGTCTTTGGACAGTCTTAATTTCTTCTGCTCATTTTCTGGTGTCTCCTTTGGTCCGTGATTGTTTTCTTCAGGCTTTGTTTTTGGTCTCCCTCGCCTCTGGTTGTTGCATGGATGTGCTTCATATCACAGCTCATGTCTTAAATTACACCCCACAACATAAATATTTCTGGTACAAATAACTTGACTATCCTCCCATTACATTCTATGTCTTTGCTCAAAATATGAGTGTGAACTTCCCACATCATTAAAATGAATATTACTAAATCATTTTAAGAGAAGTGAAGCATGCACTTCATTACACCTTATGGCTTCTTATTCAGTTTACAATACAAGACAAATTCCTTTTTTTCCCATTCTCGGTTGAGTTTTAGTGCTTGTATAGCTGTCAAAATTTCTGATATAAACAATGATGCTATTACACTTAGGTGGACATTAAATGTTATCAAAGTAATTAAATGTACACCCTGTACAGTACAAATTTTTGAATCATGAGTGTAGATTCTGTGCATATATCATTAACAGTATTATTACAAAAAGAGTGTTTTATCATCTTGAAAGAATAAAGTCTTTGACGCTACAACAATGAACTTAAGGAATTGCCTTGGGGAGAGACTGAGTGACCAGCTCAGACAAGAGTACCAGATTTATACTCTGCTTTATTTCTGAGGCAGTATACACCGCTGCTCCCACTCCCACCCTTTCTTTCCCAGCTCTCTTTATATGGTCTGCAGTTTTTATTTTGTGCTTTGGTTGCATGAGGAATGGGAGGAAAGCATTGTGGTGAGACCTTCCTAACTGGTGGTGGTTGGTGGTAGTAACCTAAGGGTAGCTTGGTAGTTTGGCATCGCAAGTCTTGGAGATCTATGTTGTGGAGTTGCACCTTGGGTAGGCTTTTGGGTTTCAGGGCAAGCACTTTTTCTTTCTTCATACTTGGTTGGATTGAGTATTCGCCAGTGTCTACCCGGCATCGGTATAGTCCAATGGAGATAATTTTGAAGTTTTTTTTATCAGGTTGGTGTTGAATGTTGACCTGCCTGACTATTGCTGATGCTATGGAAAGGCTAGTAGAATCTTGCTTTAGGGAATGACTGAGTGTACTGCTTAGAAAAGTACTTTTTATAAACTCAAAAATACTTTTGTGATTTAAATATTTATAATATTTATTCTATTGTGATATATGTCTGATATAGGGGCTGGGAGTACTTCTCTTGATCAGCTGTCATTTAAACAATGTATAAAAAGTTTTCTGGTCAATTAAAAGAACTTTTGCAAATGTACATTTTTCATTAGGAGCAAATAATGACTGTTACTTTTTTTCAGATATTTAATAGGGAAGAGTCGATTTCATAGTCCTTTATTGCTACTTTGTGGAGTTCGTCTTGAAAACCTTGACAAGGAAGACTATGAAATCATTGATATGAGAACAGAAAAATTGCTTTCCTTCAGAAGTATAAGGTAGTATAAAGTAATATTATATGAGTACAAGAATGACACATTATCTGGAGATAAAATAGGGAATTGAGTTATTTGAAATGCTCTTATCTGAGCATCCACTTGCTTGCTTCCCAAGCTATTACCCAAGGCCCACCCCTATAAAGAGACTGTTACAGATTTTGAAACAGAAGTTCTATGCTTACCTTCCTAAAAGTAGCTTTGATTTATCTTAATTTTGTATTTAACTTGGTAATCTTTTGTTTTCCCAGAGGCCTACAAGATCTTGGTCAGTGGCTAATTGAAAGAATTGGTTCTTCCTTGATGAACTCTTTAGAAGTTGGGGCTTTCTTCCTCCAGTTTCTTGATTGGTTTTATTCAAGTAGTAACACTCCAAGATCCCTCATAACACAGCCCATCCCACCACCACCTCAGGTGCAGTAAAAGTTGTGCGTACAAAGTTTAATAGAATAACTATTGAGTGTTTTGTCACTTGTAATACCACTGCAAGAAGTTCACAAAGTTTGGTATGTATGGTAGTAACTGATGCTGGAAATTCAACTAAATATTCATTCTAGTACAGTAGTCGTAATGGCTTGGCACTTTCTCCTGATGATTCCCTCATAATTCTAAAAAAGTCTAGTCTTTTATTTTACTGCCTTGTAAGAAAAATAGGCCATATTGTAAGAATTGTGAGGTATACAAATAAAAACTGTTATATAAACAACATAATGCTTTTATGAAAAGTACTGCATTTAGTTTTTTTATAGCAATTTTACCTTGTATAAACAAATCTTAAATGCTGTAATGTACAAGACATTTCAGACTGTGGGAGTACAAAAGATTGGTGGCTTGAAGACTGAAGATTGTCCAATATGCCTGAAGACAAGAAGGCAAGATACTGTTCTGTCTGTTTCAGGGTAAGTAGTTAATGGGGATCAAACAAATGTGTGTTTTTGTGTATATTTCACATTAATGTTAAAACTTTACAAGAAAAAGTCACAATTATACAAGATTAGTGGTAAAAGACTTTCACCATGAGAGAGAGAGGAGGGAGAGAGAGAGAGAGAGGGGGGAGGGAGAGAGGAGTGAGGGAGAGAGAGAGGAGTGAGGGAGAGAGAGAGAGGGAGGGGGAGAGAGAGAGAGAGAGAGAGAGAGGAGAGAGAGAGAGAGAGAGGGGAGAGAGAGTGAGAGAGAGGGGGGAAGAGAGAGTGAGAGAGAGAGGGGAAGAGAGAGAGAGAGAGGAGAGAGAGAGATAGGGGGGGGGGAGGAGGAGAGTGAGAGAGAGGGAGAGGTTGGGGGAGGTGTTGATACCAGGTTAAGATCCTCACTCACAGTACTGTTATAGTACATAACTTTGCATGGCCAGCAGTAGTATTCTTTGACCCTGGTGCAAATTATCTCATTCAGATTACAGTGTTGAAATTCAGAACTGATAAAACCTTGGATTCCACAATGTGTATTTTACCATAATCGATTATGAAGTTTGGTCAAGGTGTGCCTGCAGTACTTTACAGTCCACCTCAGTTCTTACTCTCATGATCTGTATCCAGTAATTTTGCACTTCACATTTCATCCCTGTGTGCCAATTTGTTATATTCCCTCATGATTAAAATCCCTAAGTATCATAGCTGTAGATCCTCTTGCCACTATAGATGGAAAACCCAATTATAGTATTTACCTCGTGCATACTTTTTTCAATAAAACATTAACATAAATAATGATGATAAAGCTGCAATACATAAATACAGTATGCCCATGTAGTGACTCATGGTTTGTATTTTATTACTGACAGTAACCTAAATGTTGGTCTAAATGAGATTCATGCAAGTATTGACTTCATGTTACAGGTATGTGTTCTGTTATAGCTGCATCTTGCCTTTTGTGAGACGGGAAGGCAAGTGCCCCGTCACGGATTATCCGGCATCTACTACTCAGCTCATCCGAATATACCAAGAACTGTGATTCTTTTTGTTTTGTACAATTGTAATTTTATATATTATTTAGGACAGTGTTATACTTATTTTAAGGAGATAATTTTCCAGAATGGATTAAACAAAAAATATTTATAAAATGATCATAAAATATTATATTCATTAAATCTTTTAAAATACTATGTTCATAAAATATTATATTAATAAAATAATAAATGGCTATATTTTGTAAGACAAAATAAAAAAATCTGAAATTGTCATTTTGTTACCGTAACCCCTTCATCTGTGTCACAACCAAGGTTGTGATTGCTATTATTGCGTAAGCCGAGCATCACAATCAGGAATGTTTTCATGTGCCATACAAGATTTAAGTCCCATAGGGTAAATGGGACAAGAATACACTGCCTGAGGTTGGTAATAAACAGCCACCATCTGTTTAATAATCCTGAGCAGGCAGAATGGGTGGGAAGGCCTCGTTTTATATCGAGCTACCAGAGAAACAATGGGCAGAGTTTCTTTCATCCTATGCCCCTGTTACCTAGCAGTAAAATAGGTACCTGGGTGTTAGTCAGCTGTCACGGGCTGCTTCCTGGGGGTGGAGGCCTGGTCGAGGACTGGGCCGCAGGGACACTAAAAAGCCCCGAAATCATCTCAAGATAATCTCAAGATATACCATGAACGATGCAGCCCCCTCAAGCTCTTGAGGTCGACATGTGGTGTGCATCACAGTACTCTATCACTTACTGATGGAAAAAATTAATAAGGAACTGCTAGAAACAGACACTGATGATTCTGAGATTGATAAAGACTATGAACAGGGGTCAGATGAAAGTGATACAGATAATGATATTAGTGCACGAGTTACAGATCCCAGGGCGAGACCTACATCATTGTCACAGCTGAACATCACCACCACTAGCGGAACACAGGCCACCATGTGGAGTCGGTGCCACAGTGTTCCAATACCCCATGAACACAGGTACGATGATTCATTCTCTGGATTTATAGTTTTAGTAGTGGCACCACTAGTGGTAGCATTTTACTGTATGTGGTGTTACTAGGCATAATTTTACTGTGTCAGCTCCTCGTCCTAAAAAATTATAGTGTGATATTGCATGGGAAAATTGAGGGAAGAATGTCCTGATGTTAAAGTGTGTGTGCCTGCAGTGTGTGTAATAGAAGGGCTTCATATCCTAATCATAGCTGTGTTGGCGATAGGATGCTGCCACAGCCAGAACTGTGGGATAATGTGAATTTTGTTCTACAAATTCCTACATTTGATGAAACAGAAATAGATGTTACAGATGTTTTCACCATATACTGGTGAAGATGTGTGAAAGTGATTATTTTATGGCATACTTTGATGAGCTGCTCATAGAACACATTTAGGAAATGAACAGATGCACGGAAAGATCTTTTGCAAATGAAGGCATACTTGCACATTCATGATTGCAGCATTGGGAATATACCACTGTGCCTGAAGTATATTTCTTGTGCCTCTGTGTGATGAAGCAGTCAATGAAATGTGTCATCCATGACTGTTGGAACAAAAAACTCTATTGTCCTGTCACTTATATCTGGGAAATACATGTAATAATCCTAATCTTTATTCACAAGAATGTGTACAAATACTGTAACATAAGAGTACAGTAATGTACAATTGAAGGAACAGGAGTTACACATACTAATGAAGCCACTATTATGCAAAGTGTTTTGGGCAAAACAGACAAAATTTAACAGCGTAAGGGGGGAAAACACTTAAGTCACTTATTTTATTATTTTTCCCATTATTAAGGAATGCATTTTAACTATCAAAGAATTTTATTAATTTATTTCTTGCACATTGGGGGGATGTCAACTATAATAGGGGGTGTAGTGCAAGGGTTAAGCTTCCCCAAAGAAATCTGGGAAGATTTAATTTTGAAGGATGAGTAAATATAGTTTTCTGAGGGTTTTATAATAAAACAAAACATCAGTAGGTAAACGCCATGAAAATGGCATTTTATATTTGTCACTATACTGTATTAACATTTGTATCCCACAAGCAAAAATTCAAATTGAAAATAATACAATAACAAATCTTCTGTCGTACAAGTATAAAACAAATTGGTTATGATTACCCATTTATGTTACATAATGGCACAAGATTGTACAATATATAACATTTGACAAATATTACCTGTACTGTACAACATACCTCTATACAAATGTTAAATATATGGGTAACTATTATGCATTTAGAAAAAATATATATACATACCTCCACTTCAAGAATCTTTTTATATAATTGTTAACATTATTCATGAATATATATAATGGCTGTCTGACCCATGGAAACATGACCCAATAAATTCAACTATGGGGTTATGGGGTCATTCTTGTATTGCCACCTGTGGTTACACATAGTACATCGGAAAGTGATAATGCTCTATTTTCTAGACTTTTACAACTTTCAGCTTTCTTTTGAATATATTGTTATCACATTGTTTAATCGCATACACGTAAGAAGATAAAATAAGAGAAAAACAAAATAGAGGTACACAAGTATGGGAAAATATTATTCGGGCAATGGTGCTGTACGAGTGCAGACAATGGTACACTTCATCTTCAAACTGCAAGATGTTCACAGTACAGGCATGTTATTTTAGTATGTACCAATGCTAAAGCACAAAGCAAAAAAAAAAAAATTAAGAGATGGACAAGGATTAGGATGCCTTTCAGTAATGGATATTTTTTGTCACAACTTTCAAAACTAATGAGTAAGCCTGCTCTTTTTCAGTGAAAAATGTTTTCTAAACAGTGAAATTAATAATTATAATTCCCTTTCTTGTACAAAAGTTAACATTGCCAACATACAAAGCATTGTCTTACTGCAGCACTCTGAATATTAACCCTTGTGATACCTTCATATAGTCCAAAGCTTAGCAGTAATGCCCAGTGTATTTGATGAAACGTTTTGCCCTAGGTAACAGGAAAGAGCAGCTGAGCAAATACAAAGGTAAGCTAGAAGGCAGGAAAATGAATGAAAAATTTAATTTACTTATTTGATCATAAAACTTAATAATTTACTATCATGGCAAAAGAATGAGAGAAATATAATGTATTACAAATACCAGCAGCTCACCAATTGTGAAGGTCAACTTTAATTTGGGATGACATATTGAACTAATTTAATTATCATGTGTTGCAATGGCTAACAATCTATAATTTGAATACAAAAAATTATTTTATAATTTCACATAAAACTAAAGCTTTGCATCAGCTTGAGCAGTTACAAGAGGTTGGTGGCGAGCAGCCAGGAGTCCAGTATCTGGGGCAGACTCCCTGATAATCTTCTGAAGCTGCTTGAACATTGGGTGTGAAGAGCCACCTGCTAAGCATAGGATCACAGATTCACTTGTAGTCAGAAAAGCTCCACTGTCTCGTAGCCTCTCAAAAGCATACATCCTATGGGAAAAAAGAAATATATATAGACTGTGTGTGTGTGTATATATATATATATATATATATATATATATATATATATATATATATATATATATATATATATATATATATATATATATATATATGTGTGACTGTATGTATGTGTGTGTGTGTGTATATATATATATATATATATATATATATATATATATATATATATATATATATATGTCGTACCTAGTAGCCAGAACACACCTTTTGGCCTACTATGCAAGGCCCGATTTGCCTAATAAGCCAAGTTTTCCTGAATTAGTATATTTTTTCTAATTTTTTTCTTATGAAATGATAAAGCTACCCATTTCATTATGTATGAGGTAAATTTTTTTTTATTGAAGTTAAAATTAACGTAGATATATGACCGAACCTAACCAACCCTACCTAACCTAACCTAACCTATCTTTATAGGTTAGGTTAGGTTAGGTCCCCGAAAAAGGTAGGTTAGGTTAGGTTAGGTAGGTTAGGTAGTCGAAAAACAATTAATTCGTGAAAACTCTGCTTATTAAGCAAATCGGGCCTTGCATAGTAGGCTGAGAAGTGCGTTCTGGCTACTAGGTACGACATATATATATATATATATATATAAACTAATCAGCAGAGGCATGGTACTGATCCATATTGCTAATGTAAAGAATCCAAATTTTTTAAAGGAACTTGTTGCATGATGCATACACATACCAAACTGCAGCTATGTGCTGAAGCTGTCTGCCTCAGGCTGTATCACCACCAGTATCAGGTTCGCTGATATCTGAACCTTGTACATGGTCTTTATCACTATATCATTAAATTATACTGCAATTATTCATTTCATTATCATTAAGGTATGTTGTGGGCACAAGCTGTATGTTGGTGCTATAAGCTGGTGCTGCATGAGCTACTCACTGTTGCAGTTTTAGAACCGAGGCTTTTACACCCATAAGGGGTGCCCCTTATTTTATTACCGTGGGGGTTCACAACGACCCTGATTGACATGTACAATTGAAGGGTAAAGAAAAATATTCCAGGCTAAATGGACCGAGGGCAGGAAGGGAACATCAGCACCCAAGATAACTTATGAAATGGTGCCGAGGATGAAACAATACTGAATGCAAGCAACAGCAGCTCCACCAAAGCCGAACAATGTAAAAGTAAAGCCGAAGAGGTGAAAGTATTAAGCATTAGATGTTGATCCACAAAGAACTAGGACCACCAGATCAGGCACCGAAGAGAGTTGATGGAGAAAGAGCACCATTCTTCCTGTTATGTGATGAAAGATGCAAGTAGGACACCATACAAATAGTGATAAAGCCACGTCAAAATTGGATCCCCTACCAATCCAGACAAGCAGTTTGGTAGCTCTAGGTCAAACCATCAAGGTACATCTCCGGGCCAGTCCAATGAAAGAGGCAGTCAAAGAAAAACATCTGGGTTTGGACACTCGGGCCAACTGAGCCAAAAATTAAAAATGAACCAGGCACCATAGAGCCAGAAGGACCACCATGCTGGTGTACATCTCCATTCTGAACAACACATGAAGCAACAACTGAACTGAGCTGGGGGAAGATAGTGAAAACTTGGCCTCGACCAGTCCAACTGGAAGGCATCCATCAATGAAAGGTGCTGGTTCCACTTTCTAATGGGAATGGAAGTGAAATTTCCCATCTGCAAGAATATTGTACACAACCTGCACTATGAACCAAACTGATAAGCTAGAAGCCGAGCTACACGAGTCCAGCTAGAAAAAGGAATGCGACTCCCCCCCATAGTTCAGGGAATGAATTGCCAGGGAAAAGTCTGAATGGAGCCTGGAGAATGGACCTGGAGACAGGTGGACTGGCTGGGAGCCTAAACCAGCCAGTCGTCAAAACAGGTAAGTCAGGAACCCAGAGAGATGTAGTAGGCTTAGGAAAGATGGGCATTCACCAATGACACAGGCTGAGGGAACATAGTATAGATATTCTGTATTTTACAGTACAATTTTCATGTACATAATTCTTTATCCTGAAATATATCTTACTTTTATTCCAAGACAATTTTAAACACAAGATACATTTCATGATCTGTGAGGCATAATCAAATTAACACTATTTTAGGATGTAGAAAAAATTATCGAGTTTTGTTATATAAATAATCAGATCCAAGACACTCAAGTCAACCTGCCCCAGGCCAAGCTTGGGGAGTAGAACTCCCAGAACCCCATCCGAGAATGATCTAAGTACATACTAAACGATTTTTATTTCAACAATTTTTCACAAGTCCCAGTACTGGTGTATGCCAAAATAACATACCTATTTGATAGATTGGCATGAATGAAAACATATTACATACCTGTCTATCATGGAGCGTGAAGAGCAAGCATCTACCACCAAGTGAACATCCAGCCCACTCTCTAGAAGGTCTAAAGCTGTTTGCTGAATGCATACATGAGCTTCAATGCCACAAAGCACTACTGATTTTATCTGAAAGAAATTTTTGTTAAGTTTTCAGGACAGTCTGCTACTTTTAAACAAATTGTTGTTTTGCTTTTTTAACATTAACATATTAATAAACATTTTATTATTCAATAACACTGAACATTTCTCATAACTGAACATTTGTATGTTTCACTAAATAAGTTGTACCAATATGTTCAGACCATTAAGGATTTCATTAATACGAGGATCCACTGTATATTAGGGATAAGACCATCATAACTTTGGAAGATAGGGGTGGTTTTCAGTTGGTGAAAAAGGGAGGGAAGCAAGGTACAGCATGCTTCAGTTTAATGTTAGAGGGGCTAAGTGTATATGGGTGAAGTAAAGGGATCATACGGTAGATGAAAAATGACCAGGATCTTGGAAGAAAAGTTTGGAACAATATGTGAAAGATGTGAGCAGTATAAGAAAGTTTTAAAAGAGTAAAGGGGGCCTGTGTGTTAAGAGACTATGGGAAGCCTTCTACTGTGAGTGTTCCCTGATGGGAAGTTCCTGTAAGGTTCCCAGGTTCAATTCCTGGGATGGGCAAACAGTTGGGCACATTTCCTTTCATCTGATGTCTATTCACCTAAAAATTTGTCGTTTGTTGCATCCTAGGAAAGATTAGAAGTTGGCTAAGAAAGATCTTTATAAGCCCAAAAGTACAGGCTTCATATCCCTTACAGCAGTTCATTATGTGATAGTTCCTTTATGATATGTGATATCATGTACCCTATATGATAGTTTCAAAGTACATTCTCATGAAATAAAGGAGTTTCTAGGAACAGGCTTCAGATGAGCTGAGGTAGGATAACAGCTCTTGCTTGCAGTTTCACTAGGTATGTCATTTGACAGTCCTTATGAACCTCAGTCTTATTCAAAAAACAAAAAAAAAGAGAAATCATAAAAATAAGTGATATTGTTTTGTTTTTTATTCTGTAGGCTAATACCTCCCTACCCGAAGGAAGTGGGATATGGGGCAATGATGTGTACAGTATATATAAAACCCCATTTACATACAACAAGTTAATAACCTCTTTGTTCTTGATGATTTCCTGGATTGGAGGCAGATACATCGAGAACTTTGTTTTGTCAAATACTGGTATTTCATTTTCTACAACTTCCAATTCAGGCACAGTGCATCCAAGTCCTGTAAAACAAAATAACAAATTACTATAATGTTTAGTTCACTTTGTCAGTGAGAATCTAGGAATAGGATAAATCAAGAGAATGTAGGAATAGGAACAGGATAAATCGAGAGAATGTAGGAATAGGAACAGGATAAATCGAGAGAATGTAAGAATAGGAACAGGATAAATCGAGAGAATGTAAGAATAGGAACAGGATAAATCGAGAGAATGTAGGAATAGGAACAGGATAAATCGAGAGCAAAACTGCAATAGAGCGATGCACCGTACTAAGACAAAACTGTACAGCATCATGGGCCTAAAGTACACACTACATTAGAAATAAGGGGCATGACTATGCAATTGTAGTGGTCACTAATTTGAAATTTTAACCCGATTATTTGTTTTACAAATCGTGCCAAAATTTGAAAAAAGAATTCATTAAAGTAATCTGAATTAATTTTTCTAAATATTTATTGGTCAATGTTAATTCTTTGCTGCATTAATGGACGAAATGACGTGTTGTAACTCCCAAAGTACAAAATACCCATTTTGATGCATTTGTACCCATGATAGTTCACCACCCTGGAGTACAGTCAAATACAGCTCGACTTATTACCTGGAGCACAGTTTGGCTTTGTTAGCTTAGGTTAGATTTGAGTTAAGGAAGGTAGGCTTAGGTAGGTTTTCAATTCAGGTGGTGAATGATCTTGGGAACGACAAGTGATATTGAACACAGGATGGTTTTAAAACTTTTCTAACCTTACCTAGGCTTACACGGCCTAACCTTACCTAACACGGCCTAACCTTACCTAGGCTTACACGGCCTAACCTTACCTAGCAAGGCCTAACCTTATCTAGGCTAACCTAACCTAACCTTGAGCCGGTCGGCCGAGTGGACAGCACGCAGGACTTGTGGTCCTGGGTTCGATCCCAGACACCGGCGAGAAACAATGGGCAGAGTTTCTTTCACCCTATGCCCCTGTTACCTAGCAGTAAAATAGGTACCTGGGTGTTAGTCAGCTGTCACGGGCTGCTTCCTGGGGGTGGAGGCCTGGTCGAGGACCAGGCCGCGGGGACACTAAAAAAGCCTCAAAATCATCTCAAGATAACTTCAAGATAACCTAAGCTAACACGGCCTAACCTTACGAGACATACGGGTTGAAGCATCAGATAAAGAGGCAAGGAGGCGTGCAGGGCCCCATGTCAACACCGGCTGAGTATCAACAAACCAACCTGAGTTTACCTGAGTTTACCAGTCGCCAACATTAGTGGCCTCGTCGAGGACAGGAAGCCGGCGGCGTGTCAACGGTCCCCTCAAACCTGAACATACACTAAACAGCTAGAAGACACCTTACCGCGGGTCCATAGAATTACCCCAATCATCCCAAATCAGGCCAAAACTACCCAAAACGTATTAGCATTACGTAAGTAATGAAGAAATATGGTATATTTACTTACTATAATGTTGGTGCTACACGTAGAACATGATCAAACCTATTTTTTCTCTGAAATAATCTAATTTCATAACGAAATGAGACGTAAATATGTGAGAGGTGACGCCATAGGAAGTCGACGGTCCAAGCGACAATTGTGTGGAGCGACTTATCCAAGATATATGGTCGCCTGGAGAGTGTTTGCTGCCATAACAGCCTCCTGTACACAGTGATCCAGTCGTCGTATTTCATGGCTCAAATTGTCGCAAATTTAATTGGTAATATTAACAAGTAGAATGTGTATTTATAATAATATTTTTCATAAACAGCCACAAAATATTTAATATTTATTAAAAAAAAGTGTCTGGAAGTTAAATCAATTCCACATGACAATAAATTTGTTATATAGATACTAGCGTTATTCGTTGGTATGCGTTCGCTATTTAAACTACTCCAGTCCTTTTCGTTCATAGAACACCGAACCCTACACGCTCTCTGATATATTGCTTAATTAACAAATATTCACAAATAAAGATTATATTTATATATGTTATCAGAAAGGCAGATATAAAATAGTTTGTGTTAATGCATCACAGAGATTATACCTTATTAGAGAGGAAAAATATTCATATTTTAAACAAGGCTTCTTGGCCGACGCTCTCCCTTTCGATGGGAACTATGACCTTTTGAAAATCAATGTTAATTGAATCTATATATTATAAAAAACGAAGTTTTTTATGTCATCAGAAAGACATATAAGCTGCATGTTAATACTTTGGTATAAATATAACTGAAGTGAAAGTGAAGATATATGCCTTTTTATAGTTACTTGATGGCTCGCTCAGGGAGTGTGAAGGCCTGCACACAAGCCAATCAATTTTATAATTAATGTACATATATGCAAAGTAACGTCAAAGGTTTTTATTTCAGAATGAAGACAGATGTAAGAGGAATAATAAGAGGAAATGAAGATGAAGAAATGATAAAAAGAATGGCAATAGTGGATAGTAGTAACACACTTAAGAATTATTCAGTAATAAATACAAACTCGTCCTTCACCTATGATAAAGGAAAGTCAACTTGGAAGGATTCAATTTACATGAGATTAAGATTAGGATACAAATATATCTGGCAATACGGAGTTGATGTCAGTGAAAAAGATAAGGAGTGTAAATTATGTAGTATGCCGCACGCCCACACCTTAGAACATTATGTATTATAGTGTCAACTTATTGATAACTATAGAAATAAGGAAATAAGTAATGTACCACATCAAATTGTTTGTATGTGTGATAATGGTATGATAGACAGTATACTTAGGAGCTACAAAAATTTTGCCCCAAGAGTGTAACAATTGTATGCTGTACTTACTATATTAACCTGCAATGTTAAATGGGATTCTTGTAATGTTAATTGTCTATTTGTACTTACTGAATTTGTGCGCCCCTTGAGGGACTTGAAGTAGAGGGGGTAGAAATAGCCTAAGTTACTCTATCCCTTTGAGATGTATTTTTTTCTTGTCTCAATAAACATACTTGAACTTGAACTATAAATATTTTTGGCTTCCTGACCATAAAGTTACCGCCGCAGTCGAGGGTAAGAGACCGGATGTACCCCATATACAAGCCGCACTAGCTATTAGTTCATAAAAGCTGACAACTTACCCAGATAAACATTACTTCCTAATTATATATATATATGCAAATAATACAATTAAAATGTTTAAAACATGATTATATATATGTATCATGTGGACAGTTTTTAATGTAATTTTTTCTCCTGATATTCGGGTTCTTTATTATGCTTCATCTTGAGGCAAAGCCCAATACCTTACGCCATATTGATGCTCTGTCCACAGATCATTCTCTCTCTCTCTCTCTCTCAAATCATATACATTGATGGTTTCCTACACCGCCACACGGGTGCAGCTGCAAGTGCAGTTGCCTCTACCCATCAGACAGAACTATTTGCCTTGCTTGTTACACTAAAATGTGTACAAGTGTGTGTGTCTATGTATGTATTAACACGATATACTGAACGGGGTGAGAATAGCTTGAGCTACCTCATCCATTTGTGTGTATTTTACCTCAATAAACTTATTTCAATTTCAATTTCAATTCAAGTCTCCAAACTTGATGCATTAATTGTAAGTGATTTTCTACCATCCTGCATTAATTGTAAGTGATTTCTATCATGCTTAATTGCGCGCAACTCTTTAAGACACAATTGTAACATAACCGTGTCTGAAGCTAGACAGAAAACACAACATTATTAGTGATGGTAACATAAGCCATTTCATGTGAATTCCATCTTCGTTGACCTCCGAAACTTGAGGAATGGTCCAGAAAATAGCTACTAAAGTTTAAGTCAAGTGTGAAGATACTTTAGTTGATACTTAGATACTTCCAATAAGTGTAAACATAAGTGCTGACGATGCTACCTTCCTCTATTCAGACCCCAACCCAAACGCACTATATAATAATGAAAATAATAGATTTAAAAAGTCCACTCATGGATGTAAACTAACAAACTCACATCAAACATAAAAAAGACCAACTACTATTTTTGTTCGAAAGTAAATCCTGAAACCAAATTCAACTTCAGATACACAATGTTAACATTAGCAATAATGATTATGGAAAGTTCCTTGACCTATACATAGACAAGAGACTGAACTTCAGCACCCACATACAACACATATGTGGGTGTATACACACACACACACACACACACACACACACACACACACACACACACACACACACACACACACACACACACACACACACACACACACACACACGCGCACACACACACACACACACACACACACACACACACGCACGCACACACACACACACACACACGCACACACACACACACACACACACACACACACACACACACACACACACACACACACACACACACACACACACACACCAGGAAGACATTTACAGAGAGTAGGGAATTAATTAGGTATCTGGTAGCTAGTTAAGTGGTTTGGGATTTATATCTTGAGGTACTGTATACAATGTTCACAACATAGCAATGTATAATCATTTCATTGTATACAACACATTTTGGTGAAATCCCACGGTATTCCTAGACCAGAATCATAAACATCTCTGACTTCCCACAGCAAGGCGCCGGGCACCGCGGGCTCCAGGCATGATGATTTATGTTTATTTCTCAGAGCAGTAAACAGCCTGCGGCAAAGCTACCCATATGTGTAGAGCTCAGTACTACAGATGAAGAACAACAACGTAAACATTTTTGACGTTGATTAGCTTGCTCAAACACCACTAATTTCCATAAAATAAATATAGACAAAACATTTCTGCTACAAAAATAAATGAGAGTAAGAATGCTTGTGGTCTCTTGAAGTGCAGGATAATTAAAATAAGTTTTATATTTTATAGATATAGTACTTGTTTACAGACTATATAAATCACCACGTTAATTTCAGTACAACCTAATTGTTCTTTCGGTTATTGAGATTCTGCATTTCTTGGTCCCGCTTCTCAACTCTCCAATAACTGGTATATTACAGTACTGAAATCAATGTATGTATCATTTATATTTTCGGTTTACATTACGACCGTTAATTTATAACCTTGGCGGAAACTGGGTCAAAGGCTCTTGTTGTTCATGGCTCGTCGCTGAGTCGGAACTTAAGATAAATTGGAATTGGATAAATTGGATAAAAAACCATATCAGCGTAAGCGCCCCCGAAGTGAAAGAGCAGTTTAATGCTATATAATAAATGTGTTTTGGAAATAGTAGCTGACGATTTTGTGTTGATATTGCATATCTCTTACCTAATTTGTATTATGAAATATGACATGATAGTGCGTTACAGACTTCAGTTAGGAAATAATTGGACTTGTAATGTGATTACTGATCCATCTGTATCCCAGTCATTTTACTATGTTAATTTTATGTAATTTATTCTTAAGCTTAATAACATTATTTAAATGTGCTAAATTTCCATTTATATATATATATATATATATATATATATATATTATGTTTCCAAATTTCTGATGATATACAACATATTGTGGTTTATAATTAAGTTCTTATTAATAGTGATCCTGCATCAAAATTAACAA